TAGAAGTCAACACCGAGTGGGACACCACGGCGAGAAGGAGAAGAGAAAATTTTTGGATCCACCAACTCCACAACTTAACGAAAAAGATGAGAAAAGATACAGGAAAGATAAAGAATAATTTAGTACACAGCATCGTCCTTTTTATCCTGTAATATTGGCCAATGGACGTTGCTAACTTCAACTACCAATTTTGTAAAAATCTTGAACTTCATCCAAATTATGTATTATTTTCAAGGCAGCTAAATTCAAGTGCAACATATACATTGAGCTGCAAAAGTTTCTTATCATCTACATCCGATTTCACCTGGATAGATGCACGCTTGATAAAGCTAGTTAGTCTAGCGAAATATTGGGTTTATTTTCATCATTTTGTAAATATTTTAAACATTCTTATATTTACATACTAAATAGTGTGTTAAAATTACATTGTTAGGCAATCTATAATTTTATTTGTGTAATTGAATTAATCTATGTACTGATTAATCCACACTCCCATAGATTTGTATGTCATGTGGTGCTATCTATAGGCACTTACATATAAATATATTAATATATTAATTGTCATACAATGCAATTTTTACACACTATTTCAATATTTAGATGTTTAAATTGTTTGTAATGCGATAAAAAAATAAACGCAATGTGCTTGCATCTACCAATATCAGCTGGATCCTATCCCAAATAAGTTTATATGGACCCCTGAAGCAATCCACCTCTACACATTAAATAGTAACAGTATAGAGAGTAAAAACAAATTTGAACAGTTTTTGAAATCCACTTTTAAATACTCTGAATCAGCAGTAAATTCATTTAATACTATACTATATGAAAATGCTTTCAAGTCTGCTAAACTAGTTAAGAAAGTCCCAGTCAGAAATAAAAATCAAAATAGGTCAAAAAGACGACCTTGGTTTTCTCATAGATGTATAAACCTGGTTTTCTGAATCTTGCCGTGAACTTGGTGTTACAGTAAAAAATTATGAAAAGTTAGTTAATAAACATCCCTATAATTCTGAATACAGACATAAATTTTATTCTTTCAGATCTAGACTTAGACGTCTATGTAAATATGAAGAAAATAAAAACAAAAAAGATATATTTTCAGAACTTTATACATGTGAGAAAGACCCAAAGATGTTTTGGAACATTTTGAATAAATTAAGTAGACAAAAAAGTAATAACCAACAAAACGAATCTTTACCACAAGAAGATTTCATCCAGTTTTATAAAAAAATGAATAGCTGTGACATAAACCACAATAGTTTTCACTCTAAAATTATTAAAGATTTTGACTCTCTAAAAGAAAAGTTTAATTTATCACATGTTACAGATGACTTGACTCACTTGAGTTCAGAGATAACAATTGAAGAGATAGTAACAGCTATTCGTTTAATTAAAAATGGCAAAAGCACATCAGCCGACATGATTTCAAATGAAATGTTGAAAAATGCAATCCCTGTTTTAATAAAAATCACTTCATAAACTCTTTAATAGAATGTTCGAATCTGGTCAATTTCCGAGAATATGGAATGAAAGCTTACTTGTTCTCTTGCATAAGAAAGGGGACAAATTTGGTATAGGGAACTATAGAGGTATATCTATTAGTTCCAACCTGGGTAAACTTTTCAAAAATTTTATATAAACGTTTAGTAAAATTTATGGATATCAAAAATTTAATAAGTAAAAATCAAATTGGTTTTAAAGAGAAAAGTCGTACAGCTGACCACATATTCACTCTTAACACCATAACTGATCAATATAGACAAAAAAAGAAAAAAGTTTTTGCTGCCTTCATAGACTTAAAAAAGGCATTTGATACCGTATGGCGACTAGGTTTATTTTCTAAACTCATAAAACATAATATCCCCCAAAAAATGTTTAATGTTATTTATCCAATGTATACTGATACAGTATGTAGAATAAAGTTCTCTAATGGGCTGAGTCCTCCATTCCTATCAAATAGGGGTGTTAAACAAGGTGACGTATTGAGTCCCCTTCTTTTTAACTATTTTATAAATGAACTAGTAGGTAATCTTGATAAAAAAAACATACGGATCCAGTTGCCATTGGGGATACCTCTTTGAACATTCTTTTATATGCAGACGACATTGTTTTACTTTCTGAAAGCAAAGAGGGTCTACAAAAATCTCTTGATATTTTACATGAATATTGTTCATCATGGAAACTACAAGTTAATACTGATAAATCAAAAGTTATGATATTTAATTTTAATGGCAAGACATTGTTAAACCATTTTACCTATGATAATGCATATCTTGAAACGGTTACAAATTATTGTTACTTGGGTATTGTTTTAAAGTATAATGGCAATTTTTGCCTTGCTGTGAATACTCTAATGGAAAAAGCCAGGAAGGCATACTATAAGATAAAGAAAACTATAGGTCTCAACAACCCATGTAGACTTCTTGAAAAATTGTTTGGTTGTTTTGTTACTCCCATTCTTACATATTGTAGTGAAATTTGGGGGGTGGATTCACATTTTAAAGACTCTGATCCCTTTGAAAAACTTCATGTTAAATTTATCAAAGATATATTAGGGGTTCACTGTAAGGCATCTAATGATGAATGTCGAGCCGAACTTAATAGAATTCCCTTGAAAAATAAAATATTATATTCAATATTCAACTACCTGAACCATATAGTTTCTTCGGAAAATTCTTTGGCATATGATATATTCACTAAATCTGTAGATTCAAACCCTTGGGTCATAAAGGTCAAGAGTCTTTTGAATGGACTTGGAATGTCTTATATCATCAATAACTTTAATTATGTTAAAGGTAATTTAAATTCCATTAAACTAATAATTAATGGCCAATGTTTGCAAGTTCAAAATGCAAATATATTTGAGTAAAAAAAGTTAAACTTTTTCGAGAGTGTCTACATAATGGGCAGAAGACCACCCTATGTTGATATATTGAAAAACAGAAGTGACAGAGCTGCAATATGTAAGATCCGTATAAGCGCTCATATACTGATGATTGAAAGAGGGAGACATCTAAATATTCCCAGAAATGAGAGATACTGCTCTGTATGTAATTCTGGTCAAATTGAAAATGAAAAACATTTTCTTTTACATTGTGAAAAATACTCAACTAAAAGGGCCATATTTTACCAAAAAGTTTCAAATATAATCGCTGATCCTACAAAATTTCAAAAACATAAAAATAATATAATCTTTTTATTAAATAATAATTCATACACAATCCTAAAATTGACTTCCTCTTTCATTTCAGACAGTCTGAACCTGCGTAAAGCAGAACAAACTCTATAAAATTGTCAATATGTCTAATTCATAATCATTGTTTATAATATTACATATTAATATAGTCATTATTTGCAATACTTATTATGTATGATCAACTATGTAATTAATATACCATGAGCCTTAACCATTTATTGTTGATGAGTTTGTGCTAAAAAATAAAATATTTATTTATTATCTACCAAAGTGAAATCAGAGCGAAGATGTCTTGTGATGGGATTGATGATTATCTAGCCGAATATTTCTTCCACGTACTGAATTCCACAGATGCTATATGTTAAAACATAAACAGAATTCTCCGTTTTACAGTTGCAATTTACGTAGATGGTATATTTTTGTTTTGTAAGGGAGCTGATGAAAGATCTGCTAGTATTAGCACCTTTACAACGTAAAACTAGAATCTACAATATATATGAGTTAATAAATGTCATTATTGTGGCTTATGTAATTATGTAGACAGAATGTAAAGTACATGTCAAATTAGATGTATAAACTTATGTATCTATGGTGTAAATATTTTTACATTTTCCAACCAAACAATTACTTTTCTCTTGGAAAATAACTAGAACTCCGCTATGTAATATTTGTGATGTCATCGAAGATTATGAGCACTATTTTTTGACATGCAAATTTCTGAAATCATTTTGGGAACTATTACTTGATAAACTTAAAATAGGACATCATATAATATCAATTAGATCACTTTTGTACGGATACAAAATAAACGATACAAGTTATTACAGTATTAATGATTTAATTACAATTATACTTTTTACTGTATACAAAGGATACTATATATCCGAACAAAAAACAAAACAAATTAATGTGTTTGAAATTTTTAAAAAGGAATTTCTTCAATATCATGAAATATTGATAAACAAAGAAGGCAAATATGAAAAATTCCATAATCTGGTTGCAGCAAAAATTAAATTAATTTCATGAATTAGAATTTATAATATATCATGTTATCTTATTTCTATTCAGTTGCATGTATGTCATTATTACTATATATATTGTTCACTAACAAATACTAACCTTATCACTGAAATGCTATATACTAACGTTAACGAGGCCGGGATAAGGTACCGGTACTTTATGTATCTCTAACAAATGTAAAATTCAAATAAAATATTATAACAAAAAAAAAAAAAAAAAAAAATTTTCCAAAAAAAACCAAAACATTTGGTGTGTCCGTTTTGTCATTGTTTCAAAATAGCTTGTCTATGTTTGATAAAGAAATGTGATTAATCCTTTTATAGTCTTACTAGACTTATTTTTCATTTTGTGTATATTCTAAGCAATTCACAGCTTGATGATATATTCTTCTTGTTGAACATGTATGTCATTTGTTAACCTCTAAGAGTTTTCTGATTTTTATTATTGTTTTGTAGGGTTTCTGTTTCTACAACGTATACTATTTCTCATTATATACATATTAATCAAATGTCTAAACCATAGCCAAAGACACCATCAAGTAATTTCACTGCTTGTCTGCAAAGACTTTAGCATAAGAAGGGACATCTGCTTGTCTTGTTTTGAAGTAAAAACAAATAAGAATATCAATTTTTATTTGGTTTGTTTTGTTGTATGACTGCTATCTCAAGATCATTAATACCAAACTGAATTCAGAATCTAAATGGAAATTTTTGGCACTGAAACAGGGGGAAATTATTGTCTTTTTTTCTGATGCAACTGCAAATTAAAACAAACCAGAAAATCATTTCATTAGAAATCCACAAGGATCAACATTTTATTATTGTCTAAACATAAAACATTTTATGAAGATCACATACAAATGATCACACAGCCTTTAGGACTCACTGATCACATGATCCATCATGGATCACTGGTCATGTTACCCACCACAGATCACATATCACATGACCATCATGGATCACTGGTCATGTGACCCACAATAGATCACATAACACATGACCTATCATGGATCACTGGTCATGTGACCCACTATAGATCACATATCACATGACCATCATGGATCACTGGTCATGTGAACCACTATAGATCACATATCACATGACCCATCATAGATCACATATCACATGACCATCATGGATCACTGGTCATGTGACCCACCATAGATCACATAACACATGACCCATCATGTATCACTGGTCATGTGACCCACCACAGATCACATTTCACATGTCCCATCATGGATCACTGGTCATGTGACCAACCATAGATCACATAACACATGACCCATCATGGATCACTGGTCATGTGACCCACCATAGATCACATAACACATGACCCATCATGGATCACTGGTCATGTAACCCATCACAGATCACATGACCCATCATGGATCACTGGTCATGTGACCCACCACAGATCACATATCACATGACCTTGAGGCTCACTAACATAATTTTATAAAATCTATCAAACAAATTATTTATGTAAAATTACTCATAGGTGTTTCTGTTCAAAAATGCATTATAATCTTATACAAATCTGGCTTTCGACATTCAATCTTAGTGAAATACAAAACATACTTATACATGTACAAGTATTCCAAAATTACTCACATATCAATTAAATGACTATCTGGATTATTGAAAATGTATTTTAATTAATATCAAGGTTAACATTTTGTAAATATTCAAACAGAGGAAAAATAGTTTGACCTTTTTTTTTAATTTTCAACCAACATGTTTTGGGTGACATTTTCAGGTAAGTGAATAAGAAATGTAACTGTAGATTTTTTTTACACATAAGCCCATTTACTCATGTAATATTATGGAGGTCTACACTTTACCATAGAAATCTTTTTCCGTTGTATTTATAAAGAACAAAGAACGAGACTGTTATACAATAAAACAAAGGACAAGTATAGAATACCCTGTGTGTGACAAAAACTATCTTATAACAAATCATTAGATATGGTCACTGTATACTATAAAGTGATATATTTTCATGAGGGTTTTTTTCTCGCTAGTTTATATTTAGTTTTTGCTGTTATTTTTTTTATATCTTAAACACATCTGACAATCAAATACAAGAATAAAATGCAAATGTTACAACTGCTTCTGGGTTTTGACTTTGAAATAGCGAAATTTTAACCTTGAATATAAACTCCATTAGGGTACATCATATGCATTACTGGAATCAAGTTTTGGAATGTCAAAGATGGTCAAGGTTATCGTTATGGGATACTGCTTATTTCAACATAATTTCATCTTTCCAAAGGGAAACGTACAAGTGAACTGGAGAATTGGTCAATCATGTAAAGCTATATTTATTTTAATTCAGAAATTGCAACAAAAGGTATGAAACAATTATTTGAAATAAATTGGTAATTTTTTATAATATTTTTTTAAAGATATATTTTCTGATAATTTTATTTCTACGGAGGGCGTTAAAAGCACATCAAATTAAATTATTAGATTAATTTATAAAACACTGCATCAAGCTCAACCGTTCTAATTTATAATGCCTTATGATATGGATTTTTATTTAGTAAAAGCGCAAAAAGTTTCAAATTTTCACACAAGACATTAATAAGGGGGAAATTATAATTTTGGATTATCAAATATCCTTAATGTTTGAAAATGAATTATTAACGTTTGATTTACTAATTTAACACCTTAAAAGTGCGTACTGACCAATTAAAAGTGAAGTTATACTAAATTGTTACCTGCACATTTAGTATTTTCTGAGGTGGCATAGAATATGGACTAATCTATTGTTCTATATGCCTTTATGATATTGATATCACATATTATTTCATCATGTTTATATATAATGCTGTTAGTTATGACCTTTCTATTGTAACAGTGTCAGAGTTTAATAAAAAAAATCTCAAGATATAATTTTCTAATTTGGTTAAATCAGAATGAATCTATATATAATTACTTCTCATATATGTCAACAAAAAGTACTTTTTCTTAGATAAAATTTGAGTTTGATATACTCTAAAAAATCAACAAAACAAACTAACTCAAAAAGTCGTAAAAGTATAGCACTATATATTTTATTCTAACAAAGAAAATTGCAAGATATTTAAGCCAGAAAACCATCACAATTTGACTCCTATCATAATTCAAATAGATATCCAGTTTGTACCCTAGAACAACCAGTTTACGATTAATAACACGTTCAGTCTTCACAATAAGATTTTGAATCCACAGGCCCAAAGCTCAATTTTACTAAGATTCAAGTTTAAGACTCTTTATAATTTGGATATAGATTTTAGTTCATATATATTATAATTCAAATATGACGAATTTGAGCCGTGATCTTGACTTTGACAGCTAATGCCACTTTAACAGCCTGCATTTCTTTTATTAACCTTGAAATTTTAATAAAATATTCCTTGCCAAGTTTTAAGTATAATTGTTTTCTGATCAACAATAAAATGTTAAGATACCTAACTGGGATAATGTCAAGAAATAAAAACAAACATAAACAAAGAAAATAGCTTGATGTCAAAAGTTCAGAAGATTTTATGACATAAGCAATCAAATTAGCCAACATATGACAGCATTGTTGTGTTCACCTTACCTACAATAGATTTAAAGGTAAACTGAGGTGTGTGTATAACCAATTACAGGTAAAACAGTAAGTCAAATTATGAAGTATAAACTTATTAATAGATTTATTAAAAACGGTTGATTTTTTTAAATCAACAAGAAATACATTGATGTCCAAAGACAAACATATCCATGTTTAGAATACTTGTTAATTAAAATTTTAAGATTTATGATAAAAGCCAATACTGCAAGTTTATTTTAACAATAAAGATAAATCTTCATTATCGAGGGAAGACAGATAAATCTTCATTATCGAGGGAAGACAGATACTTTTGGTTCCTGATATAAACATTTTTTTTCCTTCACCTTTATAACATACAGTAAACTGATACTTGTCCATTACTTTCAAAACAAAAACATTGTATTACATTACAAGTTTATGAAAAGTTATGAGATGTAAAAGTCATCCTAAAGATTAAGACCGAAAAAAGACAACCTTAGAAAAATAAGTAACTATTACTACAATATTGTTGTGTAGAACCTGAAATTTTATGAATGCCTCAAGTATTTTTTAATTTACATGTGTGTAAATATTACGGGAAGACAGGCAAAATACTTCAAAGCATTTGTTTAAAATAAAAGCAAAATTATTAATAAAGAAATTGCACTTCTTATCAAACCAAAACATTGTATATGCAAACATTTGCCTTTAAATAATTTTCTAAAAATCATTTTTTCAGGTAACAATGACAAAGATATAATTTTTACTAATTTCAGAAAGAAAACTCGTAATCTAAACTCAAAATAAGTAGGTTCCCTGTCAGACAGATATGTATAAGGACATCTTATCAATCAAACTGACAAAAGACTGCTTAGAAATCACTTTGTAAATTTAATTATTTTGTACCATATACACCTAGACTTAATTGTTACAATTTAAACTGAGAAAAATATGCTTCAAGAGCTTTTATTTCATTCAACGGCTATATTATATTAATATATATGAAACATGAAATATGTTTATTTAAGTAGACTTTTAGTCCTCCAAATATTTCAACTGACTTAGGTTCGACAAAAATGAGACTCAATGTTAATTCTTAATCTCAAATATCATAAATATAAATAAATCAGTAATGCCATTTAAAGGTTTATAACTTTATTGAAAAAATATATTCTTCTGCAAGGTAACATACCTTATACATGTTTATAAAACCATTTTTCTGATGCTTATGTCACTAAACTTCTTTAGTTTCTTTGATATTTCTCACTAACGCGTGATAAATTAGTCACATGGAACAACCAATTTACATCTTATATATGAAAACTCTTGGTAATGTAATGATGTCAGATTATTAAAATTAAACACAAAGTCAAGGCATACATATCAGACAATTAACATAAGACACAAACATGAGTAAACAAACAATATAAGACTTTGACTTTCACCAAGCTGCATATTTTAAATAGACATTATCATCTGTCAATACCAGGAAGTGCCTTTGGTAAGAATTGTATGACTGATCACATTTATAATTTATTGACAAATAATACAGATCTGTATTGACATTTTACTGACAAGGATCTGGCACATTTATTCTAATTTCTGTTCTGGTAATTATTATATTAGCAAACGAGAAATGTCCACCTTCAAATTTAATTTACAAGAAAACTTGTAGTATAATTTCAGAGAGATCCATACACTTTAACACAAGTTATTGTCTGTAAACTAGAAAAATGCTTCTTTTTGGCCCTTTTTTGGCCCCTTATTCCTAAATGTTAAGGGATATTAACCCCAAACTGAATCCAAGCCTTCCCTTCGTTATATGAAATCTTGTGGTACAATGTCAGAGAGATCGATACAGTTATACATAAGTTATTGTCCCGAAACTACAAAAATGCTTGTTTTTGGCCCCTTTTTGCCCCTTTATTCATAGACTGTTTGCCCCATTACCCTTAAAATAAATCCCAACCTTCTACTTAATGGTATGAACATTGTGGTACAATTTCGGAGCAATTGAAATACTTATACACAACTTATTGTCCTGAAACTAGATAAATGCTTGTTTTGGGCCCCTTTTGGCCCCTTTTTCCTAAACCGTTGGAACCATAACCCCCAAAATCAATCCCAACCTTCCTTTTGTGGTTATAAACATTGTGTTAAAATTTAATTGATTTCTATTCACTTATACTAAAGTTATTATCCGTAAACCATCCGTCTTCGGACGACGCTGACGACGACGACGTGATACCAATATACGACCAAAAAATTTTTAATTTTTGCAGTCGTATAAAAAGTCTTATATATAAATGTTTGTAAATGCATGCATGAGATTACAAATTTCGTTTCATGAGATATGAACCTCTTTATATATGAATAGTTAGTAATTGGTTAGCATGATATTACAAAGTTTATTTCATGAGATATAAACCTCTTTGGCTAGATAAATATAATTAATTAGTAATTGGTCAGCTAATTTGAATTATTTTTTATTGTTGCTGCCTTTTTTTTTCAAGGGAGGATATATACTCATAATGTATGTTTATATAAGAGATTTCATATAATCAAATTCGAATCGAAAATCGAATAGAGGAGTTTCTAATTTCCCTTTTATGAAGAAGAAATAAACTGCTCATTTTGACATGGGGTCATTTAGGGATAACATGTTTGACATGAAAATATTTCCTTTGTCACGTATTTTTTTTCTTGACAAAATCCCAACCTACTTTATTTAAATAATTAAATAATGTTTAACAGATGGAAAATTTTGCTTTTATGTTCAGCACAATAACAACTGTGTAAATTAGTGATTTAACATTTAGAAAAAATAGAAAAAAATCAATGGCTACAAAATTGACAAGTAATATGAATTATTACTTATACTTGTCTAATAAAACATAATTCTTCTTATATTTTGTATAATGTGGAGGCTCCAAACAAAATAATGAAGCAGGAGTCAAAGAAAATCCAGCTGTTGGTTTCAGAAACCTGCTGAATTTATAATTCTATCAAAAATAAAAAATAAAAAAATTATCCTTTTTCCTCTTTGGAAGACAATTTTAAAATTTACGAACAAACTCATAACTCAGTCTTTTTCCTTCCTGTTCTGTTATCATCAATATCTTTATCTTTTGTAGATTTTTTACTACTTTCACTTTCACTTTTTGATTTATCTTTGATTTTATTTTTAGAACTGTCTACATTTTTCTTTTTATCTGATGATTCTTCTGATTTCTACAAAAGACAACAAACAATTATTTTATTTTGATGTAACTCACTATGTTTATACATTTGTGTGAATTATATTTCATAAAGTAGAAGCACTGTAAAAGTTTTTAAATTCTGGTTATTTTTTTCAGTAGACGTACAATTTTTGTTTATAAGATAGCTCAATGCAGTGATAAGACATATCTTTCCATGCATCAATTCTGCTTGCTTGTTTTTGTTTCAGACTTGAACAATATAAAAAAATTATGGAATGACATTCTGAACATAATTTCTGAAAAAGTTTTTGAACTGGCTAGTTTAAACATTATGTATGTATGTGCCTGTCCCAAGTCAGGAGCCTGTAATTCAGTGGTTGTCGTTTGTTTATGTGTTACATATTTGTTTTTACATAAATAAGGCCTTTAGTTTTTCTCGTTTGAATTGTTTTACATTGTCATTTCGGGTCCTTTTATAGCTGACTATGCGGTATAGGCTTTGCTCATTGTTGAAGGCCATATGGTAACCTATAGTTATTAATTTCTGTGTCATTTTGGTCTCTTGTGGAGAGTTGTCTCATTGGCAATCATACCACATCTTCTTTTTTTATAGTTCCTAAAAACAAGATGAAAATCTATAACAGTTCAATTGAAATTTACACGGCAAAACTTCCTTGGAACAAGGAATATCTTTTCTCAATTTGATTGAAGGATTTACAACTTTGGCTTTCTTAACTTTTGGTTTTGAGTGATTCAGATGAAGTTTATAATTTATAAAAATACAAAAAATACTGTGATACTGGTATATTAAAAGTACTACATCCGCTGGTATTAAAGTCCCACAACGGTAGTATCCACATTGAACCCTGTACTGTGGTACGGATATGATTTAAAGTAATACATCTGCTGGTATAAAAGTCCCACAAGGGTAGTATCTAAGTTGAACCTAGTGTTGTGATACTGGTATGATTTAAAGTACTACATCTGCTGGTATAAAAGTCCCACAAGGGTTGTATTGGCGTTGAACCTAGTACTGGGGTACAGGTATGATTTAAATTGCGCATTTAGCTTTAAAATATAGGAACTTCATAGTATAACTTCCTTTACCAATTTTGTTTAACCTGATATGGTATAGACAAACAGATGCAAAAATCAAAAGAGACCAAAACAGATAAGACTCCTCTACTATAAGGAGCGAGGTTTACCCAAATTATTTAACCTGATATTGGATGGATAGACTAAACCAGATAACACTCCCTACAATAAGACGCCAGGTATAAACAATAAACACTTGTATACCTGTCCTTTCCCTGGATAACTTTTGCCTTCTATTGTAACCTCTTCACATCTTTCTTGTTGGGTTAAAAAATCTTTAACTTCCCAGGCTTTAGATCCATCCGTCAACATAAATATAACTCTGTTACTACCCACTACATATCTGTTGAATTAAGGAAAGATAACTCTGTTACTAACCAGTACATATCTGTTTAATAAAGGAAAGAGATGATGACAAACATCATATACATGTAGTAGTCTGAGGACTATCAGTCAACATAAATATAACTTTGTTTATATCAGATGTCCCCAGGGTCATCTTAAAGGTTGTAGGGAAAATAATGACTGTTTTGCCGAGTGTAAATTCTAGGGATGTCAAAAGATCTGAGATTTAATACTCGGATACTGGGTCATGATACTTGAGAACTCACGAGTACTCGGATGAATCTTAAATGTCAATTGAAAAGTTTAGATTTTAGGTGAGGGATGTATTGTTTTTGTTATTACCTTTCACAAACATATTAACGAAAGACAAACGTACTACAAACATAGCTTGTGTCAATTAAACAATGAATGAGCGACAGTCGTTTCTACAAATAACCTATCATAATAGCAATTATTGTTTGTGTGCGTGTTCATGAACCAAATTTCAATAAAATAAAAAATATTTGCATATAAAGTCTGACAAAGTAGACAATGTATGTATCATCTGTTCCTGAGGAGTTGGTATTCTTTATAATACAACTTGTTTAATAATTTGTCAACAACAATCTTTGACTTCAAATTACTTGTGCTTTTTCGTGTTGCTCAGTCTTTCTTTTTCTGTGTGTTTTTTTTTTTTTGCACTGTCGTTTGTCTGATTTTTAAATTTTTTCTAGCCATGAGGTTGTCAGTTTATTTTCGACTTCGGGGTTTGAATTTCGGCACTGCACATGAAAACATTCCCTTGGAAGGAAAGGATGTTGCTGGTACTACTATAACAAAAAGTATCCTCAGGATAAACATATTTATGTTGTTTATTGATTTTATTTAGTATTAAGAGAGAGATATTTCAATGGAACTAAAGTGAGTGTAAATGTGAAGTGGAAAGATGCATAGCAGGCAAACGAGTATCCAAGTACAAAAACTGTACTCGAGTTCTCGTTGCCATCCCTAGTAAATTCCCATTGCTGTATAACTACTGTGGATTCATTTATTTTCGTGGGTACCAATTTTCGTGGATTAGTGAAAATTTGCATGTTCGTGGATATTTAATTTCGTTGTTTGACCAAAAGTCTGCGTACAAGCCTATACAAAATATGTCATTCGTTGAACATTTAATTTCGTGGTTCACTTGTACCCACGAAATCCACGAAAATTGGTATCCAACGAATAATAATGAATCCACAGTATGTCCTCTTATAGTTGATGTGTTTCACTTGGTTTTGGTCTGTAACCCTGGGTTGGTTTTCCTTAATTGATTCATGACTATTGAACAGTGGTACACTATTATTGCCTTTCATAAGGTAACTTTTCTTTCAATTTGTTTATGTGAATTTGAAACATAATGTATTAAAATTATAGCTGTAAATAAATTTCTTTTCTTTGATAATTTGATTATCTTGTTTAAAAAAAATAATAAATGATTATGTGATTATGTGAGCACAAAGAGGGGCCTCATTTTATTAACTTATGACACAAGATATCAAACAGATCAAGAAAAATTGTAACTATAAGACTCACTGTAGTTGTCTGTGATTTTGTATTTATATTTATGTTCGATGGTTAATTAGATGGTGTCTATTCAATAATACACAAAAGATATTGATACATTATATCGTGTCCATGCATTGTAAATGGTTTCTTTGGACTTTTTTGATTGATTGTTGGTTGTTGGAACATCCAATTAGTACTTTGTGAAATGTGGATAGACATGTTCTTGTGTTTTAAATAACATACAAGATTTTGTGTTGAATTGGTGATCATGAACTAAACATATAATGCACATGAAAACTGGTTTAACCCCACACGTTACCTGTAATAAAACAGACTTGTATGCCATACTATTTAAGATTTTCTGCTCACCTCTGTGTATCAATATGAGCATTAAACAGACTTGTATGCCACAGTGATGTAATTTTCTCAGTTTCTTTTTCGCTTGGGTTTTCTAAAACACAAAGAAATTAAATATCAAATATATATATATATATATATATATATATATAAGTGCCTATAAATAGCAGCACATGACATACAAATCTATGGGAGTGTGGATTAATCAGTACAGAGATTAATTCAATTACACAAATAAAATTATAGATTGCCTAACAATGTAATTTTAACACACTATTTAGTATGTAAATATAAGAATGTTTAAAATATTTACAAAATGATGAAAATAAACGCAATATTTCGCTAGACTAACTAGCTTTATCAAGCGTGCGACTATCCAGGTGAAATCGGATGTAGATGATAAGAAACTTTTGCAGCTCAATGTATATGTTGCACTTGAATTTAGCTGCCTTGAAAATATATATATATAATGAGGTGGTTTAAAACTGTCATTTTTTCAACATTGAAAAACTGTACAAAATGTCTCTGTTCCTTGCATATAACATAGTGTCTTCGTACAAGTACATTCATTGACATTGTTTGTTGCGGAGACGATTTGAATTTTGCAGTGGAATAAACGTTCATATAAAGTTCGATGATTTGGGACTTGGGAGTTCGACGATAATGTTATACCAATAGCATTATTATATCCATAACATATAACTAACTCGATAGTTTGCTAGTAACAACGTTTTTATCCAATATTTACAATATTTACAATCATTTCGTATAACAATTTCACAACATTGTTTTTCGATGTTAACTTATCGCATGATAAAGACAATCTGTTTACGTCTGAACATTAGACATGAAATTTCACACTGATTCCACTAGATGATCATAACAAAGTAATTAAATCGCCACAGCCGCATTTGCAGACGACTATTATTTGAACTCTTAAATGACTAGACTGACTCACTAAAGGTGTTATAAAATTTAGGAATCCCGTTAAGAATTAAGATTAACAATTAACATTCTACACTGTAATAAACTCTTATCTTTAACTAATCTTAGCAGACGAAAATGTAGCTTTATTTCAACATAATTATATTGAAAATTAACGATAAAAATAAACTTGCAAAAATATAAGTGCAATTATTAAAAAAACGATTTCTACTCTATTAAAAATCATAACTAAAAAACAATCATACTAATAAAAACTAAAAACTATTGTCTTCAATTTATTGTTTATGATATTTCCGTTCTATTGTTAGGGCCAAACATATAGTATTACATATAATTTTGATATTTGTATTTTTGTTTGCCCTTTGTGTGACACAGTAGCACATAGATCATTTTCAATGTCTGCACATTTTCCTTATTTTCTCTGGATTATATATATGGACCTAACTTTAACTTACTGTTAACCAACTTATTTTTGTAAGCAATTTATTTTCGGAACTTTCTTGAGTAGAAACATAAAGTGAATATAAATCGTCTCTAACTAAGATTTTCTTCTTAATCAACTACTTTAAGTTAATCAGAAAATCGAGAAACTAAATCGCAGTAAAATGAGAAAGAAAGGGCTTAACAGGAAATAAAGTATTGTCAATAATGAGTTGGTTTACAGTATATATTTCTTTTATTGTCTCCATAAAGAACTTTTATATTGTAATAAGTGGTTTAGAAATAACCAATTAAATTTAAAAGCCCATCAATAAAAGGACAAACAGATGAATATTAACATTCTTGTTATAAATCAGAAATTTGTCATAAATGGAGGGGTTCACTATTAAAAATATCTAAAACCACATTCCTAAAAAGTGTAAAATCAAATTACTTAAAATGAACCCTTTTTAGTAGGTCTTTTTTTATATAATTTATTTCAGTAAGGTTGTGTTTACCAGACATTGTAGGAAAACATAAATACAAAAAATAAAAAGATGTGGTATGATTGCCAATGAGACAACTCTCCACCAGAATTTGTCTTTCATATTTTCTCAGCAATCGCAGAGTATATACTGTATATTACTCTTTTACATATATTTCGTGTTGTCTCTTTTACCTGACACTGTTGCAAACATCATTAGGGTTTTTCCTTTCTTTGACATTTTTATCATTTCTTCTGGTTTACTGGGGTCTAACTTTGACATATCTATTTTGGGTGGTTCTCTTTTCCATTCAGGAAGTTCATCCTCTTCTAACTCATCCTCATCATTGTCCTGAAAGGTAACCATGGTAACCATTACAATTTAAATGAACTAAGTATGTGAAGACATTAAAAATTATCTTATGTTCAAGGCCACACTTTGACTTATAATGGTTTACTCATACAAATTGTGACTTGGCTGCATTATCATGCAGTACAATTTTTATCATTTCAGATTTCAGAAATTAAAAAGAAAATTTCTTCCCATATTTTTTTTGAGGGGATTAATATTCAACAGCATAGTGTATTGCTCAAAAGAATAAAAAAAAATAAGTTCATTAGACCACATTCATTCTGTGTCAGAAACCTATGCTGTGTCAACTATCTAATCACAATCAGAATTCAGAGCTGTATCAAGCTTGAATGTTGTGTCCATACTTGCCCCAACTGTTCAGGGTTTCAACCTCTGCAGTCGTATAAAGCTGCGCCCTGCGGAGCATCTGGTTTAAACTAGATACCCTAATGATGATTTTGGCCAAGTTTGGTTAAATTTGGCCCAGCGGTTTCAGAGGAGAAGATTTTTGTAAAAGCTAACAACGACGGATGACGACAGAAGACGATGGACGCCAAGTCGAATATAGTCACTATATTTTTTTTCAAAGTCGATCATCTTTTGACAATCTTTATAACCTTACACCTTTTGCAGTTCTTGTTAATATATTTTTTAAATGGTGCCGGATTGACTTTAAATATGGGGCCGGATCGTCTTGGACGGATCAACGTGGGGCCAGATCAACATGAAAGCAAAATAAACTGGCATTCTTAATTTTTAAAGGCGTGAAGTTCTTTTAACTCGTCTGTCTGTTTGAAGCAGCAACAGAAACAATAGAGATAATAACACAATATATGAGTCTGGTGAAGAGGAACCGTGATGATCCTGTACCGAGCCTTGAAAATTGGGAATCTGAATGGCAAATGAAATTTAATCCTGAAAAATGCTATGTCATAAATATTTCTAAAAAGTCGAAAACTAATTTATTTCAATATAAATTACATAACCATGTACTTGAATCTGTCAAAGACAGCAAGTATCTAGGAGTTACAACAAGCAATGATCTTGATTGGGGGCCCCATATTAACCCTTTCACCGATAGCTGCCCAGACAGAAGCTACTCTGATACGATGGCTTCCCTGGCTACTATTACTCAAGTGGGAGATATTCATAATAAATGTCAATAAAAACTTGTCTGTAGTTATTTGTGTCTTTATTTCATTCACTAACACCATGTTCACAGTTTTGTTCATGTTTTGATAATTTTTTCTTCAAAAAATATTCAAATTTTCAAATTTTCGGCATTATCTAGGTAAAATTCTCAAAATTCTGCTCTTTGACCCAAAATCGTAATTTTTTAACCCAAAACGGCAAAATTTTGAAAAATTTAATGAGGCTGTACAAATTCCTTTCACTGAACGATGTCCATTCCAAGTGTTTTGTACATAAAACGACATTTTATGTCAAAAAAGTATACTAGTTTGGCATCAATTCTTCCATATTCTTTCAAAAAAAATGTTCCCTCATTTCAAATTCTAGTAAATTCTGTTAATTTCCTCTGATTTTGACACGGTTTTCAACAAACGGAAGCGCCATGTTTACACTTTCATCCGGGGATATTCAACAAAGAAAGGTTATAACTCGTGTTTGCACTGTTTTGAGCGGGAAATATAAAAGAGGTATTCCGATCCCGGTAAAACGGGACTCATCGTCAGCTGTCTGAAGCGTGAATCCCGGTAAACCGGGACTCATCGGCGAAAGGGTTAATTATATAACTTCAAAGGCAAATAAAACACTAGGATTTTTACGTAGAAACATGAAAAATTGTACACGTAAGGTTAAAAACCTTACGTACACATCACTTGTGCGTCCGACCGTACTCCTCACCAGACTGGGATTTACAAACAAAGCCAAATAAACCAAATTGAGCAGATACAGCATAAGGCAGCAAGATATGTTTTTAATGACTATAACGATAGATCACCAGGCGCTGTCACTTGTATGTTAAACAAACTAAAATGGGAAAACTTGCAATCCTGTAGAACAAAAGCTAAGCTTGTCTTGATTTATAAGATTAATGGGGGGTTGGTCATAGTCACTAATGACGTCCTGACACAATCTGACAGGCGAACTAGAGGCCTACATAAATTTTGACATACATATATACAAATAAAGACTTTTTAATCATCTTTTTTCCCAAGTACTATTGCTGTCTGGAACGATCTCCCAGAAACAATTTGCATGTCACCCTCCCTAGAATCCTTCAAAGGTGGTATCTCCACCTTAACATTTGGAGGTTCTAGTTTGGCTAATTAATTAGTGTACTTAAGCCACTGTACATAATGTGAATATCTTTAACATTAAGCTACAACTAATGTTATTTTAAATTGTAATTGAACTGTGGCAAATATTTTTATTTTATTATAACAAAATTTTCGACATCTATTTGCATGTACATAGCGCCACAGTTCCGGGATATTCCACACTCCGGCACCGGAGTCTTTCCCGTACCAGGAAGAAGAAGAAGAAGAAGAAAAACATCATAAAGTATCAATAAGTAATAGGAAGTAATAACACGTCACCTCCCACTGATCAAATAGTCGTTCTAAATCAGCTTCACTGTAATCACGAATGTTTTTCTTCTTCCATTTCTCGTCTTTACCATTTTTTGTTTCTTTTTCGTCTGCTTTATTACAAATTGAAAGCAGAACTAAATTGAAAACTATGAAAATAATAATGTAAAACTGAAAGTTTCCTCCTTTCTCCACCATATTGAAATGATTATTATAAAATACAAATAAAAAAAAAACGAATGAAACTGAAAGGGAATATTTCATTTTCTTTTTATTTCAAATAAATAATATCTGATAAAAAATATCATCTTGGTCTTTGATAATTGATATCACTATTATTAATATATAAAGCATATATCTTTGTTTAGTTTCGTTTTGTCTAAGAATTTGTACATTGCATTATGGGATATGTTGTGACTGGAAGTGAAATATTCTAAAAGTGAAAATGGTCTAAGAATACCTTAATTCTAAAGAAGTCTTATATAACATCTAGTTGCTTGTTTTGTGGTAAATGTTTTTTTCATAAGATTTCTTCCTAGATTTTTAACATGTTTACTACTGACACTTTTCTCCAAATGTATAGGTGGTTTTTTTTTTGAACAAGTGCCTGTTTGGTTGTACATTTTGTAATTAACTCTCAGTCTTATGACTTATGTAGTAATACCCTTTTTTTTAGCTTCCATTAGCTTCAAATTGGTTAAAATTTAACGTGATTTGTCAAACTATCCTTATTGTGATTCGTCAGAGGTCTCAAATAATTATCATTTATACCGTCATTTTGGGGAAAAATTTAACATGATTCGTCAAAATAAGTCAATTTTTTATCGTCTAAAAGAAAGTGTACATTTTATCGTTATGCACCAAAAATTATCCTTACATCAATTGGCAAGAATTTTTACCCTAGTTCGTCATGAAGGTACCCCCATTACCACCCTCTCTAATTGTATCCTGATTATATCTATTTGGTAATGAGACAGGAGCTTTCTGAAATGCCTTGGGATCCATGTCAATTTGTACTTTTGCAAACTTGTACTTTAAAACAACTTGTTTAAGTTGTAACTGATTTTTACTATACACTCATACTTTTACCAATTTCCAGTTGTAAACAACAGTATTGATTTTTCCATACGTGCCAATAGTAGCCGTTTTTGACATATAGACGTAAGAAAGTTTATTTTTAGAACCAACCCTTGGTAGAATTAAAGAAAAATTATTCAAACAGTATTTTTTAGTCCATTCCTGTTGCATTTCTAAATGCAATCTGTAATTATCTCCTTTGCCTACATTGTATCAATGCTGCTCTTTAAAATATATATGCATCTTGTCACAGAGTGGAAAAGACTTATGTCCTTATATTGTATTTTGCCTAGGCTTTGGCATATAAATGCAGACCAGTGACAGTGAACATTTTTTAGTATAGATCTACATGAAGTAATCAAAATATTGACTGGAAACAACGACCAATCAGGATTAGCCAAACCTGCAAAAAATACTTTCTCTTGTAAACACAGTATTTTTTTGGAGTGAAGATAATATGATTTTTTTTTTAAGAAAACACTGACTTCCTTATTAAAATGTATTATACTACTAAATCATTTAAATGAATGATAATTATATTTAGTTTTCAGTACTCCAAAATGCCGGCAACAAAGAAGGATGTATACATTGCCAAAACCATTGGTGAACTCAATAAACTGGCAGAATTACCAGCAAAGATGTCTACGTCTAATTCGAAAATGTTTGTATTGTACATTTGTAGCTCTGAAATATTTATAGTGTTTAAAACAAAGAATAAGAATGGTGCCAGTGATTTAACAATAAAATCACAAAATTGACCCTGTCAAATTTACATACTTAATATACCATCATTTAAAAGAAAACGTTTTAAGAAATGTAAGAAGAATTATTTATTATAGTGCAACCTGCATATACATATAAATACATGTTTTAAAATACAAAATAATCAGCCAGCCAAATAGGCTTATGATGCACATTATATGATAGCCTTTTTAATAAAATTGAGAATGGAAATGGGGAATGTGTCAAAGAGACAACAACCTGACCATAGAACAGACAACAGCAGAAGGTCACCAACAGGTCTTCAATGCAGCGAGAAATCCCCGCACCCGGAGGCGTCCTTCAGCTGGCCCCTAAACAAATATATATATACTAGTTCAGTGATAATGAACGCCATACTAAACTCCATATTGTACACAAGAAACTAAAATTAAAAATAATACAAGACTAACAAAGGCTAGAGGCTCCTGACTTGGGACAGGCGCAAAAATGCGGCGGGGTTAAACATGTTTATGAGATCTCAACCCTCCCCCTATACCTCTAGCCATTGTAGAAAAGTAAACGCATAACAATACGCACATTAAAATTCAGTTCAAGAGAAGTCCGAGTCTGATGTCAGTAATAGTATTGTACAAAATATGTTTACGATATACACATGTCATTGAGATTTTTGCAACAAAAATTAAACTTCTACATGTTATAATAGATTTCTTGATCAAGTTCCAAAAAAAAAGAAAAATTAACCAAGGGAAAAGTGTCAATAATTTTATGCTCATCTTTTTTTTAATATTTTTCCAGCTTAGTAAAGACCGCAGATAAGATGCTAAAGGAGGCTGAGACAGGGGACATGTTAGGAGATGAAGAGAGAGCCTATGTCCTTTACATGAAATACTTTAATGTCGTCACATTTCTTAAAAAAACGCCAGAGTATAAAAAACAAAAGGTATTATTCAACAACAAAAAAGACATAAATATTTTTAAAAAAGCAATAAAAACCAAAAATATTTGAAGAGTTAATTTCCATTCTTGGTTAAAACTTTATGTAGAATAGATGGCACATTTCTTAAATAACTTTAAAGACAATCCTTTGTTTAACTTGATGGGCATCAGTCTGTACAGCTGTACACAAACTCATCATATATGTAGATACATGTACCAGGTTTTGAATTTTGTACACCAGAGGCGCATTTTGTCTACTAAAGACTCATCAGTCATGTCAGTGATACTCAAATAAAAAAAGTTAAAAAGGCCTAAAAAAGTACAAAGTTGAGCAGCATTAAATGACCTAAAAATCTAATACGTTTTGCCAAAGACAGCTAAGGCAATCTATTCCTTAGGTAAAATATCGTAAGTATTTAAAAATATTGAAATATTGGTTAACAGGTAATTCATAGTTTATATGAACATATCAATCATAGTTTGAGAATATAAAAATAAGAAGATGAGGTATGATTTCCAATGAGATAACTCTCCACTGGAAACAAAATGGCACAGAAGTTAACAACTAAATGTCTTCAGCAATGACCAAAACCCATACCAAATGGTCAGCTTTTAAAGGCTATGAAATGACAAATGCAAAACTAGTATGCAGAAAACAATGATAGAAAACTAACTATGATAAACAGCAACAATTGACACCTACTGAAATACGGCCTCTTGGCTTGGGACAGGCACATATAGTATGCAGTCCTCAAAATGTTCAGAGGAAGTCACGAACCCTTGTAAAATTCTTAATAGTATTATATGACTTTTAAGATTTGGTTGTCAGTAATATGTACATGAACGTGTTTTTCTTACAGCAATATTATGATAGTTTGTTAGGACAAAAGAATCTATTAAAGTCCATTGACAAGGCAGAAGAACTAGCAGAAAGCCTAAAGGAGAGGTAAAATGAAGTCAAGAGATATATATAATTAAATGTTATGCTCTAATTATATTTCTCACAAAAAGCTGCTGTCATTTGTATTACTTGCTTCTAATATAGACTTTTGGTAAACATCTGCAAATTAGAGTTAAGTTTTTTATCCCTTCTTTCATGGAGATTTTAATCATTTGTTTCAATAGAATTTTGAGTTTAACTTCTTATAAAAGGAAAAATATCAAACATAGATATAACTTCACAATAACAGAACCTTTTAATTCAAAAAGAAATAAATTATGCCAATAAATTAATTCAATATAATTTACAATTTAGAAAGAAATCAACAAAATGTTGTTTTGAGAAAAAAATATGAGCAAATCTTGACAAGATGTAAATCAATAACAGGGCTCACGCTACAAGGCGACTAGGGCGAAGAAGTTGCTTTCCCGATCGTCACTTCGCTTTCCCCAACCCCCAAAAGTGAAAACAAGTCGCCCTGTTGTTTACGATACTCGCTTACAGTCGCTTTTGTCATCGGAATTTTCAATTTTTTCCAAGTTGATGAAACATCAAATTTTTATTGATAATTAAAGAAAGTTAGACATAAACGATTCATTTTCTTAAGAAAAGAGGTTGAAGCATTGTCTTTACAGTGTGTAGCAGGTAATTATTTAATAAAAAGACAACTTTTTATCATGTCATGCACTTCCGGTTCTTGTTACTCGAAAACGTACATCATCCTAACTTTCAGCAGCAAAATAAGTTTGTTACTTCATTTAAAAGTGATAAAAGTTGCCTCCAGTAAATGTTAAATCCATTTATTGCATTAAAAACGTCATGTTCCTTTCCAAATAGCTAGTCAATCATCGTTTATTTTTGTAAATTTTCTTGCATTCGTCTGCCATCGACCGTTTCTAACTACGGATCAGAACCGGACCAGCTATGACTGAAATCCGTATTTTCACAATAATGACTACGAACGCATGGATTGAACAGCTGACAGAAGAATATTGATCCCAAAGGGGAAAAAAAAAAATTTCCACACACATTAACAGACTTTTGGTTACATCTTATTGATAAGTGTATATAATTCCATATAATTTATATGGATTGTTTCAAAATATTAATTAAAGTTGCTTAACTCTGAGCTGCAGCTCTGAGACTATTATACTAATATCAATATATTATGGCCCAGCTTAACTTTGTATATCTTTTGATGAGAAACACTGAATTTCATACACAAGATAGTTTTTAATTAAATTGTAATTGATGTATATTAAATTTTTTTTTACCTTTTTTAGTGCTAGATATTTATGGTAGTTTCTCACAAGAACCTAAACTTAAACAACTTTGAATTTGAACTGTTACTTTAATTGTATACTCAGATATGAATTGAACAATATAAAAAGAACATTATTTACATATGACCCTTTATACTGTAGTAAAATCCAAACATTGTAGCACAGCACGCGAAGGAGCACTTCTCTTTCAAATCTCACCACTTCTCCCTATCAGTTTCAAAAAGAGAAGTCACTTCTCCCTATGATTCTGAAGTAGTGTGAGCCCTGCAATAAAAAAAAACAGGTTACCAATGAACTGTCATAGTAGATATAAGAAGATGTGGTATGAGTGCCAATGAGACAAATCTCCATCCAAGTCACAATTTGTAAAAATAAACCATTATAGGTAAAGAAAAACGGTCTTCAACACAGAGCACGAATATAATGCCTACCCATGTTAAAACTACAATAAAGTATAGCTTGCATCAATTATTTCGATTCTGAATAGGACAATTAAGGTAATTTCTATGTCCGATAAGTATAAGTGTAAAAGCGTTTGTGTAGGCTCTTCCATGATTCTCCCTTTTTTGTTTGTAAAGAAGCAAACGGCTGGCACTGTGATTTTTCAGAGGGAGGAGTTTGATCAGCCAGCATGAACGGTTGTCGTATCTAGGTCAAATATGTCCATTTCGGAATGCAACACATTACAGTTATAATAAATGAATTAGTAACATCATGTGCACCATTTAAGAGTTTGAAAGTGTTTTAAAGTTAAGGAAATATATTAAGTTCATGATAATTTGATAAAATTCATTATTCTGAAGAAGTCAATATACACATGTGCAAACAAATTTTATTGGATTTAGAGCATGGGTTTGTTCACAAAGCGAAAGAAGCACGTCATATTAGAATAAAGAATTTCAAATTTCACGTCATACTTAGTATACTGAATTGTTCATGACTTATGATCAGCTTTAAAATAAAATGGTGAAACTGATCACATAACTTGATACAGACACGTTTACATGAAGCTAGAAGACTATTGTTTGATATGTTTTGTAGGTATGAAGAAATAGAGGCCAAATTAATAGCTGAGAAGTTGTCCCCCTTAGACTCTAGTCCCCCAATCAATGGAAAAGTCGACAGTCCTAGAGGAAAGGTAGAAACTGATGGTGAACAAAAAAAAGAGGAAAAGGAAAAAGAAGTAAAAGGTAAATTTATTGACTTCAATAAGAAGTAAAAGGTATATTTATTGACTTCAATAAGAAGTAAAAGGTATATTTATTGACTTAAATTAGAAGCAAAAGGTAAATTTATTGACTTCAATAAGAAGTAAAAGGTAAATTTATTGACTTCAATTAGAAGTAAAAGGTAAATTTATTGACTTCAATAAGAAGTAAAAGGTAAATTTATTGACTTCAATAAGAAGTAAAAGGTAAATTTATTGACTTCAATTAGAAGTAAAAGGTAAATTTATTGACTTCAATTAGAAGCAAAAGGTAAATTTATTGACTTCAATAAGAAGTAAAAGGTAAATTTATTGACTTCAATTAGAAGCAAAAGGTAAATTTATTGACTTCAATAAGAAGTAAAAGGTATATTTATTGACTTCAATAAGAAGTAAAAGGTATATTTATTGACTTTAATCATTTGTCAATAAGAAGTAAAAGGTAAATTTATTGACTTCAATTAGAAGCAAAAGGTAAATTTATTGACTTCAATAAGAAGTAAAAGGTAAATTTATTGACTTCAATTAGAAGCAAAAGGTAAATTTATTGACTTCAATAAGAAGTAAAAGGTATATTTATTGACTTCAATAAGAAGTAAAAGGTATATTTATTGACTTTAATCATTTGTCAATAAGAAGTAAAAGGTAAATTTATTGACTTCAATAAGAAGCAAAAGGTAAATTTATTGACTTTGAAGAACTTGAAGACACATCAGTGTCGCTCTAATCAGAACTCGAAGAGCATGTGCCATTTATTCCTAAGGCCATATGTATGTGCATGGAAAAAACATAATTAAACATTTCGTAGACATGTACATGTACAGAAACAATTGAGTAAGGCTGAGGTTGTTGGTACTTGCAAATAATTATTTACAAGTAAATTGTGTAGATTTGCTATAAAATTGGCTGTATCACAACATAGACCATGCTTTGATTATGGTAGTCCTATAACACTATAAGAGAGACATGAGTTCCAGTCCACTGGCAGAGGACTATGGCTACACCTGATCAAATCTAGTATGTAATTAATGATAAACCATATGACCAGCTAAGTACAGAAAAATCCTTAGTCTTTCTCATTACATTGTTGGTATATTTTTCAGATGAACCAGTGACACCAAAGACCATCCAAGGTCAGATAACTCCTACATCCCTCTACACCTTACTACAAGAACCAGATATACAGCTAATTATAATGGATGTCAGATCAGACAAGGACTTCAAAGAATCACATATCAACCAGAAATGTTGTATAAATATACCTGTAGAGATTGTTCCTCCAGGGTAAGAATGTATAAATATTCCTGTAGAGATTGTTCCTCTAGGATAAGAATGTATAAATATTCCTGTAGAGATTGTTTCTTTCTATTGTAAGAATGTATAAATATTCCTGTAGAAATTGTTCCTCCAGGGTAAGAACGTATAAATATTCCTGTAGAGATTGTTCCTCCAGGGTAAGAATGTATAAATATTCCTGGTGATTGTTCCTCTGGCTCTATGGTAAGAATGTAGAGATTGTTCCTACAGGGGTAATGATGTGTAAATTCTGCTGTAGAGATTGATCTTGTAACTATTCTCTCAGGCACAAACAAAGAATGTCTTCCTCATAATGAAAATATTATATAGAATTTATGTTTACATCAACATTGATTTAGTTCCAAAACATATTTTTCTTTTCCTTTTGTAAAAGTTTTGACATTTAGTGGGTATATAAGTTCTTCAATCCCATGAAAATAAAAAATAGACACAGTATATGAATACTTAATAATGTTTATACAAAGTATTGGGAGATATATGAGAATCAACCTGTCCATCCATACATTGGTCCATTTGTCTGTATCTGTGCCTTATCATTGCAAATCATTCTTAACCACTAAACTGATATTGATGAAACTTTAAACAGAACCCTGCCTAAACATATGCATAAAGGTATATAATTCTGATCTAAACCGTCCAACATTAATTGATTTTTTTTTTATGCACCATTTATGGGCATTATGTTTTCTGGTCTGTGCGTTCGTTCGTCCGTCTGTTCCTCCATCTGTCTGTCCCGCTTTAGGTTAAAGTTTTTGGTCAAGGTAGTTTTTGATGAAGTTGAAGTCCAATCAACTTGAAACTTAGTACACATGTTCCCTATGACATGATCTTTCTAATTTTAATGCCAAATTAGAGATTTTACCCCATTTTCACGGTCCATTGAACATAGAAAATGATAGTGCGGATGGGGCATCCGTGTTAAATTTACACATTCTTGTTTTAAATATTTCAGATTCTAGGTAAAAGCTTCCATTTAAAAAACAACAGTCATTATAACATTTTGGATTTAATATACAAAATAATGAACAAAAAAACAAATATGCAACACAGCAACAAACCATAACCACTGAATAACAGGCTCCTGACTTGATACAGGCACATACAGAATGTGGCAGGGTTAAACATGTTAGCAGTTGCCCAACTATCCCCCTATAAACCTGGGACAGTGGTGTAACAGTACAACATAAGAACAAACTATAAAAATCAGTTTAAAAAGGCTTAACTCATCAGATGGATACAAATAGAAATACATCTAACAAAAACATAGAGTGGACGTGAACATGGTCTGGTGGTACATCCCAACAACAAAAACACTCAAAATATAGATCTCAGAGTACTCACCGTTTTTGGAGGATTAAATATCGATTAAAAAAAGGTTTCTTTTAAACTAGATATTGATTTTTCAGCAATAACATCTTAAACACATACACATTATTGAAAATATTTATACAGTTGAATCAGTCATAACAAAACTTCTTCAATCTTTAATTGAACTGTGATAATTTACCAATCAAAAATGAAAATTACTTCTTTTATTTTTCATCTTATTTACCAAAAATTTAATCATACCAAAGAAACGTGTTTTTTTTTCTATGAGGATATAAATTTAAGCGTACCATACTGACATGTGTTTTTTCTATAAGGATATTAATTTAATCATTCTATACCGACTTGTCTGTTTTTTCTATGATAATATTAATTGAATCATTCCATACTAACTTACGCTGTTTTTTTCTATGAAATTATTAATTGAATCATTCCATACTATCTTGTGTCTGTTTTTTTTCTATGATAATATTAATTGAATCATTCAATACTAACTTGTGTCTGGTTTTTTTTCTATGAGGATATTACTTTCATTTTAGGACAACTGTTAATCACATTGCAAAATCTTTACCAGAAGATTCCAAATCACCATGGCAACAGAGAGGCAATTTAGACCATATTATTTTATTGGACTGGAGTTCCAAATTAGAAGACTGTAATATTGGGACTACAGTCAGAACACTAAAAGATGCATTATATAAAGTAGGTACAGAAGTTTCCTCTTATATTGTGTTTGTTAGGCAGTTAAGCTGCCTTATGCCAGCACCCTAGATTTGTGTTCTACCCAATAAATGCTGAAATACGTGCCATTGTTATTATCTAACTGGCTATCATGTTATTTATAACTAATTGGACACTTTTTTCATACTTTTAATTCTGGATTACAAAAAATATGACCAGAAAAAACTTAAATGATCGGCGATCCACCCAAAAGTTTGTCAAAGAACAATTGTATGAAATATTTAATCGCCGAAAATCTCTAAAGACAAGATGTTTACATTTCCCAAATGGCAAAAGTCGTAGTAATATTGTTTGTTGTCGATACGTATTAAATACGTCAGTAGTCTAATAATAATTATATAAGTTGGCGGCAATTTCAAATTAGAAGACGAAATTAACATACCTTTTAAATTTGGAGAATTCTGATGATAGAAAGGTAATTATTGTTAATCATGATATTCTTTTTAATTGAGATGAGTGTTAATAAATTGTGTATTCACATTTGAATTTCATTCTTTTATATACCTCCGTTTTTCACATATTAAATGACCTTGTCAAGTAATGCACCAACATATGCATGGTACGTGTTTACAATAGAATAAAACCGGAAATCAAGAAGGTCTCACTAATTACCGACAAAAAGATTGTAGAGACAATAAGCGACAAGTAGAAAAAACTAAGGCCACTTAGCTACAGTAAGAACGAATTTGCGACAAAAAGATAAATTTAGAGACAAGAAAGTTTATACACAATTAGAATAATAAATTTATAGAAAAGTCAATTAATTACAGTTGATTATTTTCTGTTGTGTGAAGTTTAAAATTATGTTACATTCAACGTTTACGTACTTCTTGACGCTTCTTGTCTGTAATTAGTGAGACCTTGTAAACATGTTAAATTTGCCGAGAATGACAGTAGTATGTGATATATATGGATTTTAGACTCAGAAAGATCGTGTGATAATAGAAAGTCACATGAAAATGTAGAAACCCATTCATATATCACTGTATACAGGTACGGATATCCGAAAAATGTATAAAATCAGCGAAAATAAAAAAAAGGGCAAATGTGAATTGGGAAATACATGCGGATAAAATAATTAGGTCTACATCACCTTGATCATGACATGAAGCCAGTGTCCTACTCTCAGGCACTTGTTTATATCCATGGGAAGATTAAGGAGCTCAAAATATACGTTGATAGTGGGTTTTCCATGCATAGACACAAGTGCCTGTGGTCCGACTTTGACAATTCAATGTCTACGATATTTTTTCTAAACCAGAACTTTTTTTATTTCTGGGCCTAAAACAAATCTTCATATATGGCCAATTTGAAAAAAGATATATCTTTCAAGAAGTATAAAGTCCAAGAATGTTTTACCAAACGTTTATTTATACCAATATTGGTATAGATCTCGAGTAACATCATGAACTTGGAGGGGGCGGGTCATTTACATTTACTAAAGTCAGGTCAATCAGACCTCACCTTTGATTCCTGTTATAGTAAGGCTTTGTCTGATTTGTGTCATACATTTTGTACTGCAGAACTTAAATTGAACGAACTCAGTGTTCTCCCCAGGGAAGCAAGTCAACGCGCACTATTGCAAAGTTGTACCATGCCAATAAACTTATACATGTACCACTAAAAGTCAACTCAAATCAACATTAACCACTAAATTTTGGAATTCACAATATAATTCTGTCTGATAGACCTATCAGAGACCATGTGTCAACTTACAACAGAGGCAGACTAGAGCATACTATATATCATGACATGTTCATTGTATGTATAAAATTGAATGAAAGTAATAAAAATTTAACATAATTTAATCGCTCTGACACTCTGCACTCAAACTGCTTATTTTTTTAATTTGTCGAAAATCAAACTTTGATCTGACCCTAAAAAAAAAATATCCCATGATCCCATAATGATTTCTTTTCAATTTCATTGACAAAACTTGTGTAAATATATTTAATCATGATTGTATACATGTACATATGTCTAAATAAACAATATAAATATTTTTAGGCAGTTAAGCTGCCTTATGCGAGCACCCTAGATGTGTGTTCTACCCAAAAAATGCTGAAATACGTGCCATTGTTATTATCTAGCTGGCTATTATGTTATTATAACTAATTGGACATTTTTTTCATACTTTTATTTCTGGAATACAAAAAATATGACCAGAAAAGCCTTAAATGATCGTCGAACTACCCAAAACTTTTGAAGTTGCACATAGGAAGTAGTGCTCAATAGAAATTGGTACATAGTTTATAATCCACTGTGCTTTTGGCTACAATGTCAAAGAACAATTACATGAAATATTTCATCGCCGAAAATCTGTAATTACAATTTACAAGTCGTTTATATTTCCCAAATGGCAAAATGCGCAGGAATTTTGTTCATGTACAACAAATCTCTATGATAGAGGAAATAAAGTTATATATCTATTTGGTTATCTTGCCAAATAAGGTTGTTGTTATTTTATGAATGAAACGAGGTCATGAAACAGATCTGGAAATCGACGACACGTTGATGGGATGTTTTAAGTAATGTGGACAAGTCACACCGAATCCACTCGAACCGTCTAAGAAGACAACTCTGACCTTTTGTCAGATTTACTTAGGGTTTCATAAAATGTTAGACTAACATGTCTAGCGGAGCAATTAATCTTTTGTTTGTGCATTGGGGTCTATTTAGGGGTATTGGGAGGGGTTTACTATAGAACACTATGGGATTTTATTTTTTTTTAATTTTCAAATGACTATTTCTCGAAAATAGTAAGTGACAGACACACACATTCTTCAGTAATGAGAACAGGACGATAAAAAAAATCAAACAAAATATAGGGTGAGTCCTTGGGGGTCATCCCAACCCCCTTCAATTTGAAAATGTACTTTTATCTTGTAAACCGTCGCGATCCCCACCCCTAAACAATATATATACTTGTACGGGACAATAAAACAAATCAAATTAAAATAATTTTTGGGAGTCTCCAGTGTCGTCCCACCCCCTCCTGTTTGAGAACTTGGAAATGGTCGAGATCCCCACCCCATAACCATTTATATTCATGTATGGTACAATAAAACAAATCAAATGAAATATAGGGGGTGTCCCCATATAGGGGGAGTCCATGGGGACACCCCAGCCCCTCCTGTTTGAGAACGTGTAAACAGTCAAGATCCCCACCCCTAAACCATATACATGTATATTCATGTATGGGACAATATAACAAATCAAATGAAATATTTGGGGATTCCCTGGGGTCACCCTATCCCCTCATGTTTGAGAACTTGGAAATGGTCAAGATCCCCACCCCTAAACGATATGTATTCATGTATGGGACAATATTACAAATCAAATGAAATAAAGGGGGAGTCCCAGGGGTCACCGTCATCCCCTCCTGTTTGAGAACTTGGAAATGGTTGAGATCCCAACCCCTAAACCATATATATGCATGTGTGGGACATTAAAACAAATCAAATGAAATATAGGGGGAGTCCATGGGGACACCCCACCCCCTCCTGTTTGAGAACATGTAAACAGTCAAGATCCCCACCCCTAAACCATATATATTCATGTATTGGACAATATAACAAATCAAATGAAATATTTGAGGAGTCCCTGGGGTCACCCTATCCCCTCCTGTTTGAGAACTTGGAAATGGTTGAGATCCCCATCCCCTAAACCATATGTATTCATGTATGGGACAATATAACAAATCAAATGAAATATAGGGGGAGTCCCTGGGGTCACCCCCCCTCCTGTTTGAGAACTTGTAAATGGTTGAGATACCCACACCTAAACCATATTTATTCCTGTTCGTCATTTCAAAAAGATTTGAATGACATACAGCGTCAATCTCCTAGGTGTCACATATGCATATCACTTTACTAGACCAAACCAATATGAACTGGACTTTGCCCAATGTCAGGCGACCATGGGAATGACGAATAATGGGGGCTTTGTTTGGGAGACTTTGTAATGGCATCCTGTTACAATTATTTCTTGTTTATTATAAAATTTTATTGATGCAAAAAATGAGTCTAGGTTAATTGAATTTACTTTAATTATTTATTGAATTATTTCTGGGCCTATAATATTTTTCATTTATGGCTCATTTTAAAGAAAACATATAAATCTTTCAAGATGTGTAAAGCCCAAGAATGTTTGACCAACTGTTTTATAATCACCTGTCATTTTATTCCAAACTTGTTATGGAGTGACATCATGGACTTGGGGGTGAAGATGGGGGTCATTTACATTGATATATGTGTTGCTTTTGAAAACCTTGATGAAATATTTAAAATAGACAACTTTCGATTTCGATGCATTTCCGTCAAAAACTCTGGTTTTAGTGAACATCATTCGTGCGTTTAGGGGCGTCGTCACTTCCGTTCCCATGTTGAGCGAGTGGTTGGAAAACTATAAAGCTATATTGCATGAATTATTCGGCAAATTGAATTCTCATAATTGTCTTTCTGCACTGCTGTCATTAGGGAATTATGATTAAGTACCTACAGAACAAATATTATTTCCAGTTTAGCCTGCACAATGACAATCACTAAGATGCTTGATGAACGTTAATAGTGCAGGGATACAGACCATCCCCTCTATCTGGTAAATGACGTCATAAAGGCGAGCATAATTGACGAGTTTTTTCCAGTGACTGACAAACTCGAAAATGGTCTATTAATTTGCCTTAATAATCAATTCATTTAATAAACATAAATGTATAATATACGAATGTTTAATGTTTTTTTCTTTCAAATCTTAAAAAAAAATTGAAGCAACACTGCCACAGTTTTCATAATTACATTTGCCTTGGTTTTTGGTTAACTGCCTACAGCGCTTACAGTGCTTTGATTTGTTGTTCTTGTTTGTGCTTAACACCACTCTCATAGGCCTTGGCTATATTATGGTTGCCAGTTTTCATTGATGGATAAAGCCAGAGTTCCCTGAGAGAGAGACAGCGACCTTAGACAGGAATGGCAAACCTTCTCTATTAAGATTGGTGTCAAACCCAGCAGATATATAAAAAAGAAGATGTGGTATGATGATTGCCAATGAGACAACTCTCAACAAGAGACCAAATGACACTGAAATTAACAACTATAGGTCACCGTACAGCCTTCATCAATGAGCAAAGCCCATACCGCATAGTCAGCTATAAAAGACCCTGAAATGACAAATGTAAAACAATTCAAACAAGAAAATTAAAGGCCTAATTTATGTTCATTTTATTTCTCATTGTTGAAGACTGTACTGTTGCCTATAATTGCTAACATTCACTTGATTTGAACTTTGGTGAATACTTTCCTCATTGGCATTCACACCATATCTCCATTCTCCTTATATTCACCTGACTTGACCATATCATGGATCAGAGATCAAGATCAGTTTTGTGATGCCCCTGCAATAGTGTAGGTAATTTCTGTTTCTCATATACTATATGCAATAGGTTCACTTAATTTGATTTATGAAATAATTGTAAGGCATACATACTCACATTGACAGGGTTCATCTAACTTTTACCTCATTTACATGGATCTTTGATAATGTTCCTTTTACTTTTTGTATAACTTTTTTTTCTCTAGGACTTTTAGCCAATACATTTCAGAGTGTGCACTTTTGTAACAATCTAGCTATTGATTGAGCAAATTATTATTTCATGGTGAAACTGAGATCATATCTATATCTCTATTATTGTTTCTTTTCAGTATGATTCAACAGTGATAATTAAGAGTGAACCATTGGTGTTAGACGGAGGCTATGACCAGTGGTTGTTGTATTACCCACAGTTAACAACCAATTCTAATATCTCAAGGCCAAAAACAGATCTTATGTCCCCTATACCATCATGTATGTATTTGTAACAGCCAACAACAAGTTCTGATACTCTATAGCTCGCATGAATATTGCCATGTCCACCTGTTGGTTATGTGAGATTGCAAACATTTTAAAATGTCGATCTCGCCTGCATCCATCCTTTAGAGTGGACATGACATTTCTTTACTTTATCTTTGGACTGAATCATATAATGCCATGAAAAAATATCCAAGGAACAAAAAAAAAGTTTAGTGATCATGTGTATCTATCTACCTGTTCACATTTATTGGCCTTCAATACATGAATAAGGGAGCTACCATTTGATTTTTATGGGGGGCTAGGATGAAAAATTTTGTCCTGTTTTTTTTTTTTTTAGTTGTAATCATTGATGTTCTGCCTTTTTATTTTTTACTCTATTCGGTCCTGCCTTTTTTTTTACTAGTTTATCCTGAATTTTTTTACACAAATTGTCATCCTGAATTTTTTTTTTACCAAGTTGCTCATCCTGCCTTTTTTTTTACTCAAAACTCCTGTCCTGCCTATTTTTTTCAAATTTCATCCTAGCCCCCATAAAAATCAAATGGTAGCTCCTTAACCTATAATTTTTATTTCTATATATTTATATAAGTGAAAAATGAACAAATTATTCAAAGTATGTCAGAAATAAAAAAAAAAGTGATTTTTTACTTTACTTTACATTTAATTCTTCTTCTGATATATATCTTACAGTGGATTTTGATTACCCTGATTTTGATGAAGCCTTCATCACGACACCTACTCCTGACAGAGCCAATCAGAATCAACTTAATGGAATAGTTAACCAATCACAACCAAGTTCACTAATTAATGACCCTTCAGGTCAGAGACCACAGTTTCCAAGAATAGACAGATCGACCAAACCCAAACCATTACAATCAAGTGTTTCTACAAATCTTACCAATCAAACTGACTTTGAAAAACTAAATGAATTGAAACCTAGAGTTACTTCCCTTTATCCTGATACAAGTTCAATATCTAGTACAAAAATAATCAGAAAAGAGTCTGGGAATGAAGTACAGAGTTTGTCTAGAGAACTAGAACGTGAACGAGAAGAACTCAACAGGATTAGAAAGGAAAAAGAAGAAGAAATTGCAAAGTATCAGTTGGATAAAGAGAGAAATATTAAGGTACAGTAAAACGGTGAAACCTGAGTAAGGTACAGTAAAACCTGAGTAAGGTACATTAGAATCTGTTTAAACTGGCCTGACTAAGGTACTGTAAATTCAAACATTATTGCTTGCATTTATTATTGTGATTTTGGAAGAATGCACAAAAATTCGATATTAGTTTTTGTGATATCAGATAAATGTGCATGCAGACATATACATTGAATTTAGAATGCGAGTTCTTATTATTGCGATACTCAACCAGTCTCATTATTCGCATTAATAAAAGTCTCACAATAATTTCTGAATATTAGAATTATCAAGTTGTTATCATAGCAGTATTTACCATGTAAGGTGTATATATGTTCAGTAAAAAAATCTTGTGGCAATAAAATTACCTCCCCTTGTAACATTGAGAAATTTTAAATCTTTAATGTTTTGTTGTCATATTTGTTCTACATTATATTTTTGTCTTTTTTAGGAACAACAGGCAAGGATCGAGCGATTAAAAGATGAAGAAGAAAAACTAAGATTGATAGAACAGAAAAAATCAGAACAAACTAGAGATCTGGCGGATCTTATGAGAAAGAAGAGAGGGTTACAGGAAGAGATGAAAGGCTCTGGAGGAGAAAATATCAGGTATAAAGTCATGTAAAGCAAAATATGGTGGAGGACCCATGTAAGAAAGTTATAAATAGAAACAAAAATAATGTTGTACACAGATATTGTGGATTCATTTATTTTCGTGGGTACCAATTTTCGTTGATAAAGAAAAACTTGCATATTTGTGGATATTAAATATGGCAAAGTCTGCATATAAGCCTAAACAAATTTGTCTTTCGTTGAAGATTTGATTTTGTTGTTCACCTGTACAAATAAAATCCACGAAAATTGGTATCCCACGAATAATAATGAATCCACAGTATATGAATAAATTTCATGATGTTATCATCTAATATGGACCACTGGACGTTAAGCAACCAACAATCAATCAATCTAATATGGAAAAAAAACACATTTTTACACAATCTGTTTTATATTTAAATGTTAAATGTAGTTGTATTTTCTTTTTAAATGCACTTTCAGTAAAATGAATTATAATTACAGAAATCAAGAATTGAGGACAATAGAGAATGAGAGGGTGAAAAGACAAGATGAGGTAGACAAACTTAGACAGGAGAGAAAGAAAAAAGAGGAAGAAAGAAGAATATTGGAGGAAGGAAAGGAGGTATTAAATCATATGACATTTTAGTCCATCTAACGCATAGCAGGTTATGCCATAGGTCATTTAGCTTATTATCATTTTGTATCGTCTAATTATTATCATCTCTGAAACTGCTGAGCTAATGTCAATGATAACATTAATGTTACCAATTTTAAGGCACCAAATGTGTATTTTTTGGAAGTACTTTGTAATATCTCTTCTTTTCCTTTTAGAAAAGACAAAACACTGCAGAAAAATACTATACATGCTATAGAGAATCAACACTACCAACACAAAATCAATCAATAGCCTCCTTTTAAGTAGCAGCCCTCTATTATATGGCAGTCATGATAAGAATCTATTTGGTATGCAGGAATCCCCCTGTCTGTCCATGTGCCTTTTAAGTGAAATTTCTCCTTGATGAGAAAATGAATATTGATGAAAGTTTGCACAGTTGAACATTTCCTAGGATTTGCAAAAAAGAATATTATTTCTGCTCTACATGTAAACAGGAGATAATAAATATGAATATAAGAAGATGTGGTATAATTACCAATGAGACAACTCGCCAACAGAGGGCAAATGACATAGAAATCAACAACCATAAGTTACTGTACGACCTTCAACAATGAGCATAACCCATAATAGAGTTTACTTACCCATCTTGGGTATATCATATTGTAAGGCAGGGGTTCACTCACAGTTCTAGTTTCTATAAATATTCATGTCCTTTCAGAAAGAAGAACTTGAGAGAGCAAGAGCAAGGGCAAGATTAGAAGAGGAAAAGAAAGATTTTGAATTAAAGCTGGCAGAAGAAACAGCCAGACGGCTACAGGAGGAGGAAGACTCTATGGGCATAGAACTTCATGAACTCAAACAAAGAGAACTGAAAACAAAGATAGAAGAACTGAGAAAACTGAGACTGGTTTGTTTATCTATACTACAACTCTCATGAATTTTTGCATTTTCACTCGTCCATGGTGGGACCTGGTAAAACTATCAAATGTTCCCTGGTCTCACCCTTCAGAATGGCCTTTTTTTATCATAAGACTTGATTATACAGTACCTTGGAAATATAAGAAAAGCTTTTTGTATTAAATAAAATTCAATTTGAAGTACACCAGTGACCTTTCCAGGGTGGCAGGCAGGAAAAACAAAATACTGTATAGTGGGTAATATTCGTGGGGTGTTAATTTGGGCTCATTTTGGACAGAGTAAAAAAGTGAGACATAGGTATTCTGCTTCAGGTGTCAATAAAGTCTCATTCCCATAGAGATTATATAGAAAAAGGCATATCTCTGTGAATAAGTGTATTGTTCAGGGCTTCAGTGGAAGTTTTAATTGGAGATATGGTTCAGAATCATTTAATAATCATGTCATGATTGTATAGTTCTGAGCACTTGAATAGTTTAAATCTGAAATATTTGCAAATATCTTTTAATTCTTTTACTTATAGATGATCAAACCTTTTGTTTGATTCAATGAGGCAAAGTCACACAAGTTTTGGAAAAAAAAATTACTTCATTAAAAATATAAAGTGATTACATGTACTATAAATTCAAAAATTATTGCAAGGTTTTTATAATGCCAAAAATGCTACTAAGTGTGTATTGCATTCTGATATCTATTACAAATATTGCAATAATAAATGCACATTTATAGCTTACTGTTCAGTGTAAGTCAAGGCTCCATGTTGAACACCATACTTTGACCTATAATGGTTTACTTTTACAAATTGCGCTTTGGATAGAGAGTTGTCTCATTGGCATTTATACATGTCTTCTTATATCTACATAATAATTTCTGAATTTGAATAAAATTAGGATGGCATACATGTATGATATACTGGGGATTCATTTATTTTCGTGGGTACCAATTTTCATGGTTTTAGGAAAACTTACATGTTCGTGGATATTTAATTTCCTGGTTTTGGTAAAATATGCATACATTCCTTTAGAAAATTTGTAACTCGTTGAACATTTAAATTTCCTGGTATCCAATAAATATTAATGGATCCACAGTATGTGTTCCAGCTGCACATTGAACTGTTTATATGTATTAAAGGAAGAAGAAAAAAGTCTAAAGGAAACACAGAGCAGAGAAGAATCTCTGAAAAGACTAGAAGAAAATAGAAAGTTAAAGGAAAAAGAAGATGCTATAAAAAGACAAGAGGAAGATAGGCTTGCTATTGAAAGACAAGAAAAGGAGGCTCATGAGAGAAAGACAAAAGAACATAAAGATAGAAAACTGAGAGAAGAAGAAACTGAAAGGAGAAGACTGGCGAAAATAGCAGAGGAAGCAGCAAAAGTAGAGCAGACAAGAATGGAGGCTGAGCTACGTGCCAAGAATGAACTGGCAAAGCGAGAAGCTGAGGAAAGGGTAAGGGAGGAACAGGCAAAGAGAGAGGCAGAACAAAAGGCAAGGGATGACCAGGCAAGAAAGATTGCAGAGGACAAAGCAAAGAAAGAAGCAGAAGAGAAGGCAAGAGCAGATCAGGCAAGGAGAGAGGCTGAGGAAAAACTCAAACTAATCCAAGGTAATAATCTACAGGTGTACTTAGTCAGATCTTTATATACTGTAAATTCATTTTTATGCCCCATTTATGGGAATTATGTTTATTGGTCTGTCCGTCCGTTCGTTCGTCCATCTGTCCCGCTTCAGGTGAATGTTTTTGGTCGAGGTAGTTTTTAATTAAGTTGAAGTCCAATCAACTTGAAACTTAGTACACATGTTCCTTATGATATAATCTTTCTAATTTTAATGCCAAATTAGAGTTTTTACCCAATTTTTCACGGTCCACTGAACATAGAAAATGATAGTGCGAAGGGGCATCTGTGTTCTTTGGACACATTCTTGTTATTCATGGGTATAGGTAAACTATCATGTTCAACGCCAAATACATTGCCTGTAATATCCACAAATAAACATTATTTCCTACATCCACAAACAGACTTGAAATCACAAAATGGGATTTGTATGAGATGTCGTCATTTCTTAATATAATATAATTGTTTGTCAATTTTTTTTTATATTCTAGGTGAAAGTCCGAAGATAAAAACAATACCATCACCTAACTTACCCACAGGCTGGGAGAAACGATTAGATGGTCCAACTCATAGATATTACTATATAAATCACAACAGAGGAACAACACAATGGGAACCTCCACAGACAAAAATCAAATTACCAGGTAAGCACAATGGGAATTGTCTCCAAGAGAAACAAATAGCCAGGTTAGCATGATTGGAAATGTTTCCAGGTATAACAAATAGCAAGGTAAGCACAATGGGAAATGTCTCCAAGAGAAACAAATAGCCAGGTAAGCACAATGGGAATATCTCCAAGAGAAACAAATAGCCAGGTAAGCACAATGGGAAATGTCTTCAAGAGAAACAAATAGCCAGGTTAGCATGATGGGAATTGTCTCCAAGTGAAACAAATAGCCAGGTAAGCACAATTGGAAATGTCTCCAAGAGAAACAAATAGCCAGGTTAGCATGATGGGAAAGGTCTCCAAATGAAAAAATGAAAAAAAAAATAGCCACGTAAGCACAATGGGAAATATCTCCAAGAGAAACAAATAGCCAGGTAAGCACGATTGGAAATGTTTCCAGGAGGAACAAATTGATTTTTTTGTTTAGTTCATTTAGATTGTTCCACCTATTTAGATGTGGTATTGGTCTTCACAATCTGATATTAGAAAATTTTGTCGAGATATTCATATTTTTTTTAATGCCCATACCGCAGAGGAGGGGACATTAAGTTTTACCCTTGTCCTTCTGGATGTCACTTTTGCGGTCCTTAAGTAATGTCCTTAAGCAGGGACATCTTGTGTCCCATGGACACATTCTTTGATTTGTACTACTGTAAATTCAGAAATTATTGCGTGCATTTATTATTGCGATTTTTCAAGAATAGAGAAAAATGCGAGTTTAATTATTGCGATTTCGAAAAAATCTGCATACAGATCTATGTTTCAGTTATCAGAATGCGAGTTTTTATTATTGCGATACCCATACAGTCGCATTATTCGCATTAATAAAAACCTTGCAATAATTTCTGAATTTACAGTATAATTATTTTATCATTGATATTTAATTGGTTATATAAATGGTAGAGATATTAGAATGAGCAAACACAGTGTGGTATAAATAGTATGAAATTTTAGTTTTAATTTACCACTCAATAACATGGTGATATGGACAATCAAGAGTATAATTATATATAGGTTCCACCATATTATTATGTGTGATATACTACATTCCAGAGTCAGTTAATTTTTAAAATTTAAACCCCTTTCTGGTGGAACATTTAAAATATTTATACTCTAACTGTTGAGAGTGAAATATTATCTTATTACGTGAAATTTGCTTGTGGAATCTGTTTTTTTTTCTCTAATAAGTTTTAGGCGATATGTTTGCAAACTTTTCTTTGTGTTTTAATGATCTGAAAAAAGATATGTACTTTCTATATGACTTCATTAGGCATGGTTTGCCTTTTTTCATGACGTCAGAATAACAAATTCAGAGGAAAAATTTTAGGTCTTTATTGAATTTTGACCAATGAAGATTTGAGATCAAATTAACTGCATGTTGATTATAAAAAAATATTCAACCAGTCAGGAAGAGAATAAATAGGCTAAGAATTAGAGAAAAATAATATAATATGATATAAATTAGATGTATTTTTTATTGAACAGCTGATGGCAAGTACACAACAAAATTGAAAGATGAACCTACTACAACAAAGAGAGGCCTGTCACGGTCTAACTCATCACCAAACATCGCTAAAATGATGGAGGAGGAAGACAAAGTACCACCACTAAAACCCAGTATAGATAGATCTAATAAACCAGCACAAAGGTGAGGTCAAATGTCATTGTCATAGAGACCAAGTATAGATAGATCTAATAAACATGCTCAAAGGTGAGACCAAAGGTCATTGTCACAGAGACCAAGTATAGATTCATATTTTGTATATATAGAAAAAAAAGGCGAAAGACATCAAGAGAGAATCAAAACTTATAAGTCAAAGAGAGACCGATATAATAATTTCAAAAGAATAACAGTCTACAAAACACACTTAAAAATATCAACTGAGCAACACTAACCCACTGCAAACAGGGGTGATCTCAGGTGCTTCGGAAGGGTAAGCAGTATCTGCTCCACTAGTGACACCTGACATTTTACTCCTATAGATAAAACATGTCCGTAAGGAATGAGGAATCAAATGATAAAATTCAGGAAGAAAGATAACACCAATGATACTTTGTTGTTTCAGACAGTTGATTCCAGAGGCGAACAGACCATCACCTCAGAAACAAGCAGCAAGGATCAGGAACTTAAACCCGGTGTATGGCAATGTGGTAGGTATTCATTATCTAACCCTTGGTAACATGGTAGATACTGTAAAATCAGAAATTATTGCGATTTCGACAGGACAGACCAAAATGTGACAATAATTATTGCAATTACAAGAAGAGCTGCATACAAAGATATGTGATAGATTGCAGAATGGGAGTTCTTATAACATGTATTGCAATACTCATCCTGTTACTTTATTGGCAATAACAAAAGCCTCGCAATAATTTTTGAATTTACAGTATTTTATTGCTTCTTATAAAGACAAATCAAACTCTCATTATTGTCCTTGTTTTAAAGAGATGCTGGTTTGTTTAATTGAGTCATTCCCTTGACTTAAACTTAAAAATCGCCTTGTGGTAGCATGCTTTTTTCAAATGTGGGAGGTCATATTTTTTATCCCAAGCCTGGTTAAAATGAAAGATTTGAAAAGTGGTATTTGCTGCTTCTTCACAAAGCACACAGCATTTAATAGGAGTAAGAGCAAGGACCTTATTATCATCCTGGGTCATCTTAATGACTTTTAAATCATCGTTATTCATGCTCTTAAACTTAAGATCATCAAAGGTCATTGTCTTTATGACTTAAATCTCTTTCTGATTGATTGTTTGTGATTAACACAACTTTAAGCACTCTTGCCTATATCACAGTTTTTATAGGCATGAAGAGAACTACTGCCTTCAAACGGAAAACTGGGAAACCTAGTCAGTTAAGATCAGAGTCAAAAGCACCTTGCCAGGAGTGGGGTTTGAACTTTTGACCTCAGTGTTGAGAGGCTAGTGATGACTAGATATACTTAGACCTTTGCGTACTGATGCCCTTAAGAAGATAATGAATGAACACAGTAAATCATCAGTAATTAGAGAACATATTATGTGTTCTATGCAATAAAACTAAAAATATGATTTATTTTATTTTTTCCAGGGACGAGCCTTGACGGGATTGAGAAATCTTGGTAACACATGTTACATGAATTCTACAATACAGTGCCTAAATAACTGCTCCCCATTGGTGACCTACTTCCTGACAGAAAGTTACCTGTATGATATAAATAGGTTGGTTCCTAATGTACAGGTAGTAAGATAGTTTACCTTTAAATAGTAAATTTAAATGCTCCCTGCTGGTGACTTTTTTCCTGCTAGTTTCATTATTATTTGTGGGATACCAATTTTTATACGACCGCAAAAAAATTTTGCGGTCGTATATTGGTATGACGTTGGCGTTGTCGTCGTCGTCCAAAGACACATTGGTTTTCACACTCTAACTTTAGTTTAAGTGAATGGATCTCTATGAAATTTTACCATAAGGTTCAATACCACAAAAGGAAGGTTGGGAATGATTTTGGGGGTTATGGTATCGACAGTTAAAGAATTAGGGGCCAAAAATAAGCATTTTTGTAACTTCCAGACATACTTGTGTGTTAGTGTATGGATCTCTCTGACATTGTACCACAAGGTTCCATATCACAAAGGGAATGCTGGGATTGATTTTGGGGGTAATTGCCTCAAAAATTTAGGAATTAGGGGCCAAAAAAGGGGCAAAAAACAAGCATTTTTCTAGTTTCATGACAATAACTTGTGTGTAAGTGTATGGATCTTTCTGAAATTGTACTACAAGGTTCCATATCACAAAGGAAAAGCTGGAATTGAGTTTGGGGGTAATTGCCCAAAACGTTTAGGAATAAGGGGCCAAAAAGGGGCCAAAAATAAAAATTTTTCTAGTTTCCAGACAATAACTTGTGTTCAATTGTATGGATCTCTCTGAAATTGTACTGCAAGGTACCATACCACAAAGGGAAGGCTGGGATTGATTTTGGGGGTAATTGCCTCAAAATTTTAGGAATTAGGGGCCAAAAAGGGGAAAAAAACAAGCATTTTTCTAGTTTCAGAACAATAACTTGTGTGTAAGTGTATGGATCTTTATGAAATTGTACTACAAGGTTCCATATCACAAAAGGAAAGCTGGGTTTGAGTTTGGGGGTAATTGCCCTAAACGTTTAGGAATTTGGGGCCAAAAAGGGGCAAAAAAAACAAATATTTTTCTAGTTTCCAGACAATAACTTGTGTTCAAGTGTATGGATCTCTCTGAAATTGTACTGCAAGGTACCATACCACAAAGGGAAGGATGGGATTGAGTTGTGGGGTGATGAATCATAAGGGGGTTAAAAAAATTGGGGGGGGGGGGGATTTTTTTTGCCTTTTTAACTTGTTTTTCAAAGGAAATATCGGTTATTGAAATGGTGATGTACGGCGGGTGGCTGGGCAGGCCTACAGGCAGCTGCCAAACAGTGTCAGCACAATAACATGAAAACGCTTTAACACATTTTTTTCAAATTTAAATATGTTGTTTCCTGGGACTTAATGAAGGTCTAGTTCAATTTTCAAGTTATTAGTGTATCTCCTTTGTGAGTTATCGCCATTTTTAATATCCAAAAGTGGAATTTTTAAATATTTTACTCTTGTTATCTTTTTTATGACTAAGCATAATGTCTTATCTCACAATAAAAATTGGAGTGACAGATTTATTTGAAAATTATCTATTTCCTAAGTGGTAATGATTATAAGCTATATTATTAGACATTTTGAAGTTAATTACATTATTAATTATTAATTAGATCTGGGTTATATCTTAGCATATAATATCATTGGAGTGACAGATTTATTTCAAAATTTTCTGTTTCCTGATAAGATCTGTAGGACTGTATATATAAAATTTGAAATTTACTAGTAGGACTGTATAAATGAAATTTGAAATTTACTCTTCATTATTACACATTTTGTAGATAATTAAGTCTCCCTAAACCATATATATTCTTACCCCCACCCCCTTTCAATTTGAGAATGTGCTTTTATCTTGTAAACGGTTGAGATCCCCACCCCTAAACCATATATATTCTTGTATGGGACAATAAAACAAATCAAATGAAATATTTGGGGAGTCCCCGGGTTCAGCCCCACCCCCCTACTTTTTGAAAACTTGTAAACGGTCAAGATCCCAACCCTGAAACCATATATATTCTTGTATGTGACAACAAAACAAATCAAATGAAATAAAAGGCGAGTCCCCTGGGGTCACCCCCCACCCCCTCCTGTTTGAGAACTTGTAAACAGTCGAGATCCCCACCCCTAAACCATATATATTCTTGTAAGGGACAATAACACAAATCAAATGAAATATAGGGGAAGTCCATGGGGGTCACCCCCGCCCCCCTTCTTTTTGAAAACTTGTAAACGGTCAAGATCCCCACCCAGAAACCATATATATTGTTGTATGGGACAATAAAACAAATCTAATGAAACAAAAGGCAAGTCCCCTAGGGTCACCCCACCCCATCCTGTTTAAGAACTTGTAAACTGTCGAGATCCCCACCCCTAAACCATATATATTCTTGAATGGGACAATAAAACAAATCAAATGATATATAGGGGAAGTCCATGGGGGTCACCCCCACCCCCCTTCTTTTTGATAACTTGTAAACAGTCGAGATCCCCACCCCTAAACCATATATATTCTTGAATGGGACAATAAAACAAATCAAATGACATTGAGGGGGAGTCCCCTGGGGTCACCCCCACCCCCCTTTTTTTTGAAAACTTGTAAACGTTCAAAATCTCCACCTCGAAACCATATATATTCTTGTATGGGACAATCAAACAAATCAAATCAAATACAAGGCGAGTCCCCTTGGGGTCACTCCCACCCCCTCCTGTTTAAGAACTTGTAAACAGTCGAGATCCCCACCCCTAAACCATATATTTTCTTGTATGGGACAATAACACAAATCAAATGAAATATAGGGGAAGTCCATGGGGGTCACCCCCACCCCCTTTCTTTTTGAAAACTTGTAAACGGTCAAGATCCACACCCTGAAACTATATATATTCTTGTATGTGACAACAAAACAAATCAAATGAAATAAAAGGCGAATCCCCTGGGGTCACCCCCACCCCATCCTGTTTGAGAACTTGTAAACGGTCGAGATCCCAACCCCTAAACCATATATATTCTTTTACGGGACAATAACACAAATCAAATGAAATATAGGGGAAGTCCATGGGGGTCACCCCCCACCCCCTTCTTTTTGAAAACTTGTAAAAGGTCAAGATCCCCACCCCGAAACCATATATATTGTTGTATGGGACAATAAAACAAATCAAATGAAATTAAGGGGAAATCCCCTGGGGTAACCCCCACCCCCTTCTTTTTGAAAACTTGTAAACGGTCATGATCCCCATGCGGAAACCATATATATTCATGTATGGGACCATAAAACAAATCAAATGAAATATAAGGCGAGTCCCCTGGGGATCACACACCCCCCCCCCCCCCCCTTTTGAGAACTTGCAAACGGTCGAGATCTCCACCCCTAAACCATATAAATTCCTATTCATAATTTCAAGAAGTTTTGAATGACATACAGGGTCAATCCATAGGCGTCACTAATGCATATCATGAACCAATTTGTACTGGACATTGCCCAATGTCAAGCGACAATGGGAATGACGAATTATTGGAGCTTTGTTTGGGAGACTTCGTAACAGCATTCTGTTACAATTATTTCTTGTTACTGATAAGTTTTATAGATTTTGAAATGACATTGTATTAATGATAAATAAAATTTTGGATTTTTTTCTTCTTTTCTTTGGTAAATTGTTTGTAGAATTTTGTGGCAAGTTTTTATTTTGTTATTCTGTAAAAACTAATTTTCTGAATCCTTTTTAATTTTTTTTTTGATGAAGTAAACTCCTTTAAAAACTAAGCTTATATAGTCTATTAATAAACATATATTTAGATTTCTGATTTTGGGCCCAGTTTTCAAGTTGGTCCAAATTGGGGTCCAAAATTAAACTGTGTTTGATTTCAACATAAATTGAATATATATAGGGTTCTTTGAAATGCTTAATCTAAACCTGTATTTCTTTTCATTATTAATAAGATAATACCACATTGATGTCCAAAGGGCCTAAATTACACTTTTGATTAATTTCATCAAAAATTGAATTCTTTGGTTCTTTGATATGCTGATTCTAGCAATGTTTGAGTGTTAAATCATATCTAATTTTAGAGAACTTAGTCATCACTGGTTGTTGTTATTATGTTATTGATTATAATTTGAAAAATTGCATCATATCTTATTTTAGAGAACTATTTATCCAATTTGAGTTATTTCCCTTTGCACAGAAAATTTTATGGATAAAATTAACCTGTGTTTCATTTCAACATAAATTAAATTAAATTTCTTTCAAATGCTGAATCTAAACCTGTATTTAAGTATTAGATTTTTGGTCCCAGTTTTCAAGTTGGTCCAAATCAGGGTCCAAAATTAAACTTTGTTTGATTCAACAAAAAAATTATTTATGGGGTTCTTTGAAATGCTGAATCTAACCATGTATTGAGAGATTTTTTATTGTGGGCTCCTTTATCAAATTGGTCCACATTGAGGTCCAAAGGGTCTTAAATTAAACTTTTGTCTGATTTCATCAAAAATTGAATTCTTGGGGTTCTTTGATATGCTGATTCTAATATGTACTTAGATTTTTGATATTGGACCATAATAGGTATTTAAATGTCCAATTTCAAGTATTTCTGTTCTTAAACCACATTCATTGTGTGTCACAAACCTATGCTGTGTCAAATATTCAATCACAATCCAAATTCAGAGCTGTTTTAAGCTTAAATGTAGTGTCCATACTTGCTCAACTGTTCAGGGTTTGACCTCTGCAGGAAAATCCGGTTTGCTGTCACTCTGACAGACTCTTGTTTTCCTTTTTTTATACGACCGCAAAAATTAAAAAATTTTTGGTCGTATATTGGTATGACGTTGGCGTCGTTGTCGTCGTCGTCGTCGTCGTCGTCCGAAGACACATTGGTTTTTGCACTCTAACTTTAGTTTAAGTGAATGGATCTCCATGAAATTTTACCATAAGGTTCAATACCACAAAAGGAAGGTTGGGATTGATTTTGGGGGTTATGGTACCAACAGTTAAGGAATAAGGGGCCAAAAATAAGCATTTTTATAACTTGTGTGTTAGTGTATGGATCTCTCTGACATTGTACCACAAGGTTCCATATCACAAATGGAATGCTGGGATTGATTTTGGGGGAAATTGCCGCAAAATTTTAAGAATTAGGGGCCAAAAAAGGGGCAAAAAACAAGCATTTTTCTAGTTTCATGATAATAACTTGTGTGTAAGTATATGGATTTTTCTGAAATTGAACTACAAGGTTCCATATCACAAAGGGAAAGCTGGAATTGAGTTTGGGGGTAATTGCTCAAAACGTTTAGGAAAAAGGGGCCAAAAATAGCATTTTTCTAGTTTCCAGACAATAACTTGTGTTCAAGTGTATGGATCTCTCTGAAATTGTACTGCAAGGTACCATACCACAAAGGGAAGGCTGGGATTGATTTTGGGGGTAATTGCCTCAAAATTTTAGGAATTAGGGGCCAAAAAGGGGCAAAAAACAAGCATTTTTCTAGTTTCAGGACAATAACTTGTGTGTAAGTGTATGGATCTTTATGAAATTGTACTACAAGGTTCCATATCACAAAAGGAAAGCTGGGTTTGAGTTTTGGGGTAATTGCCCTAAACGTTTAGGAATTTGGGGCCAAAAAGGGGCCTTAAAACAAGCGTTTTTCTAGTTTCCAGACAATAACTTGTGTTCAAATGTATGGATCTCTCTGAAATTGTACTGCAAGGTACCATACCACAAAGGGAAGGCTGGGATTGATTTTGGGGGTAATTGCCTCAAAATTTTAGGAATTAGGGGCCAAAAAGGGGCAAAAAACAAGCATTTTTCTAGTTTCAGGACAATAACGTTAGTGTTAGTGTATGGATCTTTATGAAATTGTACTACAAGGTTCCATATCACAAAAGGAAAGCTGGGTTTGAGTTTGGGGGTAATTGCCCTAAACGTTTAGGAATTTGGGGCCATAAAGGGGCCTAAAAACAAGCATTTTTCTAGTTTCCAGACAATAACTTGTGTTCAAGTGTATGGATCTCTCTGAAATTGTACTGCAAGGTACCATACCACAAAGGGAAGGCTGGAATTGAGTTTGGGGGTAATTGCCTCAAAATTTTAGGAATTAGGGGCCAAAAAGGGGCAAAAAACAAGCATTTTTCTAGTTTCAGGACAATAACTTGTGTTTAAGTGTATGGATCTTTATGAAATTGTACTACAAGGTTCCATATCACAAAAGGAAAGCTGGGTTTGAGTTTGGGGGTAATTGCCCTAAACGTTTAGGAATTTGGGGCCAAAAAGGGGCCTAAAAACAAGCATTTTTCTAGTTTCCAGACATAATAACTTGTGTTCAAGTGTATGGATCTCTCTGAAATTGTACTGCAAGGTACCATACCACAAAGGGAAGGCTGGGATTGAGTTTGGGGGTGATGAATCATAAGGGGGATCAAAAAATTAAGTGGAGGGATTTTTTTTTCTTTAAAATTTTCCCTTTTAAATTGGTTATTTCTGATTTATATATAAAAGCAAATAATAATGATATGGTTTGAATAGGTAAATTAAAAAATTTTAAGTTCTTAGACCACATTCATTCTGTGTCAGAAACCTATGCTGTGTCAAATATTTAATCACAATCCAAATTCAGTGCTGTATCAAGCTTGAATGATGTGTCCATACTTGCCCCAACTGTTCAGGGTTCAATCTCTGCGGTCGTATCAAGCTGCGCCCCAGCGGAGCATTTTATTTTCTTTAAAATTTTCCATTTTAAATTGGTTATTTCTGATTTATATATAAAAGCAAATAATAATGATATGGTTTGAATAGGTAAATTAAAATTTTTTAAGTTCTTAGACCACATTCATTCTGTGTCAGAAACCTATGCTGTGTCAAATATTTAATCACAATCCAAATTCAGTGCTGTATCAAGCTTGAATGTTGTGTCCATACTTGCCCCAACTGTTCAGGGTTCGATCTCTGCGGTCGTATGAAGCTGCGCCCCAGCGGAGCATTTTATTTTCTTTAAAATTTTCCATTTTAAATTGGTTATTTCTGATTTATATATAAAAGCAAATAATAATGATATGGTTTGAATAGGTAAATTAAAAAATTTTAAGTTCTTAGACCACATTCATTCTGTGTCAGAAACCTATGCTGTGTCAAATATTTAATCACAATCCAAATTCAGTGCTGTATCAAGCTTGAATGTTGTGTTGATACTTGCCCCAACTGTTCAGGGTTCGACCTCTGTGGTCGTATCAAGCTGCGCCCAGCGGAGCATTTTATTGTTATTTTAGTTGGCACAGGTAAACCACTAATTTCAATGTTCAACGAAGAACAAATTATCTATATGCTTGTATGTAGATGGCAAAACCTCAAAATAGAATATCCACCAAAATACTAGTTATCCTCAATTTACGAAAAGAGGTGTTCATGAAAAATAAATGAATTCATGGTAGTTGTAATTTACCAGTTGATAGTATTTAAATGATTGCTTCACATTTTAAACAGATGTGTTACCTGTACATACAAGACAATATATAACATGCTCATAATTTGTCAGGAATTCACTGTTTCAGAATCTAAATCATTTTATGTAATATTTTTCAAAACTTTGTGATTGGTTAAAAACATCCTAAGCAATGAGAATTCAACCAATGACATGAGGTTATTTACATTTTGGGGTATGAACAATGAATTAACCTACGTTCCTTTAGATTCTAAAACAGGGAATTGCAAAATATTTAGTCATTCTCTTATAACTTTTGTTGGGTAACTGTAGCACTCTAGTTTCCGATCATGAGTGTATATGATTATCAAAAACTTTATTTTGTCTAAACATCAAAATGATGACCTTATTTATCCTTATACAGTATGACACATTGGCAACAACATGGCGCAATCTCAGTTGTCTCTATAGGATGTTTTAAATGTCTTATTTTGAACATTTTACATAAAACCAGAATAACATAACAGTATTAGAAGAGTTTCCACCATCAAATCCCCTATTGACAGTGTCAACTCTTCAAATCCCCTATTGACAGTGTCAACTCTTCAAATCCCCTATTGACAGTGTCAAATCTTCAAATCCCCTATTGACAGTGTCAACTCTTCAAATACAAAACTGTCATTTCTTAAATCTTGTTTTCCAGAGAGAGTGAACTTGGTAGCCATGGAGAAGTTGCCGATGATTTTGCTGTTATTGTTAAAAATCTTTGGACAGGACAATATAAATGTATAACTCCCAGAGACTTCAAGGTTAGTATAAATCCTAGAATTCAAGGTCATATAAAAAAAACATAAACTATGTTGGGCAAAGAAATCTAAATACATAAAATGCCAGACAATCTCGCTGCAAAATATAGAAACAACACAAACATTTAGAAAGCCGTCAAGACACCTCAAGATATAGGTTAGACATCTGGGCAGACAATAATGTCAAGACATCTCAAGATATATGTTAGAAAACTGGGCAGACAATAATGTCAAGACACCTCAAGATATAGGTTAGATATCTGGGCAAACAGTAATGTATGTACAGAGCAAATCAATTGGATAAGTTTGCTGAAAGAAAATAATTTTGATAAGTTACCTAAAAGAGACAAAATGAAGCAGTACACATGAGAGAAGATATCTCAGAAATAAGCACTGTATAAGTACAAGTGTACACCTCAGTGTAGGATATGTACAGTTTATATATATATATTGTAGGTGACTGTAGGAAAACACCAGCCTATGTTTGCAGGCAATGACCAGCAGGATTCACAGGAGTTCCTAACGTTTCTGTTAGACGCCTTGCATGAAGGACTTAATAAGGTAAGATTGATCTTCTATTGTGAGAAAGATACACCAGTAAAAATAAGAAGATGTGGTATGGGTGTCAATGAGACAACTCTCCATCCAAATCACAATATAAAAAGTTAAGAATTATAGGTCAGAGTACGGCCCTCAACACGGAGCCTTGGCTCACATCAAAAAACAAGCTATGAAGGGCCCCAAAATTACTAGTGTAAAACAATTAAAACAGGAAAATCAACTGTCTAATCTATATAAAGAAACGAGAAACACCTAGGAACCATAGATAGCCTTAACAAGATTTGATAAAACTTTTGGGAATTTTTCTCTTTCAATAATCTTCAACTTTTTTATAATTGGCCTTTTAAATGTTTTGAATCTAACACCACTAATAACTCTTAAGTGCATCTTGTCTACTGTTAATTCATTATTATTTGTTGGGTACCTATTTTAACCAATTTTATTGTTTGATGCCAACCACGAAATACAACTGTTCAACCAAGTATATTCGTAATAGTTTGTATGGAAACTTTTGGAAAACCACGAAAATTGGTACCCACGAAAAATAAGGAGTTCATAGTAAATTTTAAGACTGATATTATTGATGATTTTCTTTCTCAAGGTTATTTGACAACAAGTAGTTTTAGTTCTTTGTAGCATAACCACCTGCACAACCTTATATCATAATATGTACATTAAAAAAAAAAGCGTGTACAAAGTTTCAGTGATTTTGAGAACCATGATTATGTAAATTTTATACTCTGAATTTTTTATTGCCAGGTTAAAATACGACCAAAAATTCCAGAACAAGATAATGACAATTTACCTGATCATGTGAATGCTGAGTTGTCATGGAAACATCATCGTATGTTACATGAATCCATTATTGTTGAACTGTTTCAGGTAAGGCAATAAAAGGTTTAAATCTAGAAAGACAAGTTTTTGTTTAGTAAACTGTAGTACTGTGGATTCATAATTATTCGTTGGATACCAATTTTCGTGGAATTCGTGGTTACCCAAGAACCACGAATTCAAATGTTCAACGAATTACAAATGTTCTATAGGAATGTATGCAGACTTTGCTTAAACCACGAAATCAAATATCCACGAAAATATAATTTTTCCTCAATCCACGAAAATTGGTTCTCACGAAAATAAATGAATCCACAGTATATATTTTTAAATGGAAGGAATTGTTTGAAGGAAACAATCCTAGTAAAAAAACCTCTATATTCACCTTTAAGGTGGAGAAGGAATAGGAATATGCATTTGAATTATACTTGTATGTTTTGAATTTCAACTTTGATGTAGCTCAGGAACCCTGAAACAAGGTTATGGTCAGCAATTTATTTGACCTTTGTAGGGACAGTTAAAGTCCACCTTGATGTGTCTGACATGTAGAAAACAGTCTGTTACATTTCAAGCCTTTATGTACCTGTCACTACCGATCCCATCAGGATCAAGATGCACACTTAACGTAAGTATATTTATTGTGATCTTTGTGTTAATTGCATGTAAGAAAATTCATCAGCAAACATCAGGTATCTTGGTCATAAAACTTAACTCAGTACTCAGATTGATTGATTGATTTGTGTTTAACGCCATCTTCTACACTACTCAGTACTCGGATTACAAAATTGTATACTCACTTCACCAAATCCATTATTTTGATTGGTTGAATTCTAAGTCACAATACTATAATTGTCCTTGAAATTTTAATGACCGCAAGGGTAGGACTTAGTTAGATGGGAAACAATTCGCCTTAATTCATTGAGTCATAAACCAAAATATAGTTTGATTTGCAGTACAAGGAAGACCTTTTAGTGTATGATCAATTCTTTCATAAGTTTTCACACCCAAAAGGAACTGTTTCAATTCTTTTAACTTTTCCTCAGATAACACAAATAGAAAAAAAGATGTTTGACTTAATTTTTTTCATTTTTTATACGCCCGTTTATTATGGCATACCGTTGTCCTTCTGTCCGTCCATCCGTCGTCAACATGTCGGACATTAACTCAAAAACGCTTTAACCAATTTGCATGTAACTTTGGTGAATTGTTAATATCTATGGAAGTGAGCTCCCATTCGTTTTTTATAAATTTTAGATTTTATGTTTCTGAGTTTTGGGGTTTTATTCATTAAAAAAAAGGGGGATTTTCCAGTTTTAGGACAATAACTCACAAACTCTTTCAGCAATTTGCAAGAAACTTTGGGGAATTGTTTAAAGCTTTTGACATGAGCTCCCTTTCAATTTTTATAAATTTTAGATTTTACGTTTCTGAGTTGTGGGGTTTTATTCATTAAAAAAAAGGGGGATTTTCCAGTTTTAGGACAATAACTCACAAACTCTTTCAGCAATTTGCAAGAAACTTTGGGGAATTGTTTAAAGCTTTTGACATGAGCTCCCTTTCAATTTTTATAAATTTTAGATTTTATGTTTCTGAGTTTTGGGGTTTTATTCATTAAAAAAAAGGGGGATTTTCCAGTTTTAGGACAATAACTCACAAACTCTTTCAGCAATTTGCAAGAAACTTTGGGGAATTGTTTAAAGCTTTTGACATGAGCTCCCTTTCAATTTTTATAAATTTTAGATTTTACGTTTCTGAGTTGTGGGGTTTTATTCATTAAAAAAAGGGGGATTTTCCAGTTTTCGGACAATAACTCAAAAATGCTTTTAGCAGTTTTCATTAAACTTTGTTGACTGATTTATATCTATTAAGATAACCTCCCTTTAGTGTTTTATAAATTTCTGATATTACATTGAGAAGTTATTGAACTTTATTCTTTGAAAACACGACGGGCGTATCATGGCATCATGGCGCAGCTGTTTATTGAGGTCTCCTTGTGAAAAAATGGTCTCTAATGTAAATGATGTAAACATCATATTGGTGAGCATTGGGAAATAGATGTTTATTCCAGCTGTATAGATTGGTTCAATAATTCCAGCTGTATAACTTAGTTCAATATCATTACAGGATTGTCTGAGGCAGTTTCTCAAAGAAGAGAGGATGACAGGTAGTTCCAGATGGCGATGTCCTCGATGCAAAGTAGATAGAGACTCTGTAAAGAAGATTGATATCTGGAAATTACCCAGAATTCTTCTGATTGGACTCAACAGGTAAAGTGATGGCATTTATGTCAAAAACTTCTTGTACTTCAATTTACTTCATAAAGCTTTTGGGAGGGAAATTAATTTACACCTATTTACCTCAGAGATTTATGAAACTCAATACTTAAAGTTACTGTTTAACTATATTTGGTCAACAGAATTATTGTATCATATCTCAGTTTTTTTAATAGGAGACACACAACACTAATGACTCATAACACTGAGGACAGGAGACACACAACACTGATCACAGGAGACAACACACAACACTGATGTCAGGAGATGCATAACACTGATGACAGGAGACACATAACACTGATGACAGGAGACAAGACACAACACTGATGTCAGGAGATACATAATGCCGATCACAGGAGACACATAACACTGATGTCAGGAGACAACACACAACACTGATGACAGGAGACAACACACAACACTGACGACAGGAAACACATAACACTGATGACAGGAGACAACACACAACACTGACGACAGGAAACACATAACACTGATGACAGAAGACACATAATAATGATGTCAGGAGACACATAACACTGATGACAGGAGACAACACACAACACTGACGACAGGAAACACATAACACTGATGACAGGAGACACATAATAATGATGTCAGGAGACACATAACACTGATGACAGGAGACAACACACAACACTGATGACAGGAAACATGTAACACTGATGACAGGAGACAACACACAATACTGATGTCATGAGGCACATAACACTGAGCACAGTAGACACACAACATTGATGTCAGGAGATACATAACAAAGATGCCAGGAGACACATAACACAGATTGCAGGAGACAGATGACACTGGAGACAGGAGACACATAACACTGATTTGTCATGTATCTAGTTTCAAAAATCTAACACCATCAATAAACTGTCCACAAATTAAAGTTTTTTGTAAATTATTTGATTTTAAATAAGTTGTTCTGATAGTTGGTTCCAATTAAAAATGTACAATTATCTGTTACAATTTGATGGAAAAAAATTGTAGTTGGAAATTAAAACTTATGTTGCAATATACTTTATTATCTGTAAGAAAAAAAAAATTACAAAAATAATCATACAAAGATATTCTTTTAGGAAGAATCTCTTAAAATGTGATTTCATTCATTATTTCCATATAAATTATAAATCTCTATTTCAAACTAAATTGTATAGAATTCTTATTATCCAGATGTTATTCCCTCCCATTGTCAGGGTTGTAAATTTGCTACCTTGAGTTCAGTTTATAGATAAAAGGTCAACCATATTTGATCTATTATAGGTGGCATCTGACCTTGACCTCATTTTTATGATTTTAGTTATTATATCAATACGGGAGTCAGTGTTTATTGTTATCTAACTTTCATTCTATTCCTAGATTTTTTTTTCTCTTTATAGGTTTGTATATGAAGGGCAGTGGCGACAGAAAATAAGTTCTTATGTGGACTTTCCTGTTCAAAATCTTAATTTAGATTCAGTTGTACAATCACCAACATCAACAAAGAGCAAGTACAATCTGTATGGTATATCTGTAAGTAATACTTTTGTTTTCATTCATAGCTTTTACTTTATGATAAATCTAGAGAGAATCGAAAGTAAATTAGGCATGCAATGATCATGTGACTAGCATCCACAACAAAAGAGAAAACCAACCAGAGTGAATCAAAAGTTAATCACTTGAGCAAATATTAACATGATTTCTGGCAATAAAGTTGTCAAAGAAGCCAAAAAGTAATGGTATAATTGTAGAATTTATGTATTTTAACCGACCTGTTTTAAAACATTTTATCATCCACAATGATTCAATTTTCACATGTGGTTTCTTTCAAAATCAATCTGTACATTAAACTTCCTTAAATCTTCAGAGTAAAAGATCTGACTACTGTTTTGTCTGAGTAAAAGATCTGACTACTTACTACTGTTCTGTCGGAGTAAAAGATCTGACTACTATTCTGTTGGAGTAAAAGATCTGACTACTGTTCTGTCGGAGTAAAAGATCTGACTACTGTTTTGTCTGAGTAAAAGATCTGACTACTGTTTTGTCTGAGTAAAAGATCTGACTACTATTCTGTCGGAGTAAAAGATCAGACTTCTGTTCTGTCTGAGTAAAAGATCTGACTACTGTTTTGTCTGAGTTAAAGATCTGACTACTGTTCTTTCTGAGTAATTAAGATATTTATCTACATTCAATAGTTTTAAAATTTTCAAGAGTCAGACTGGAAACTTCAAGTTATACATTTTTGAAATTGAAATTTAACTTCAGTATCTTATTCCAAGTAATTGGTATTAGGGTACAATCTATGTAAATGATAAAGGGTTCATGATTGATGTTGAAAAGTTTAAATAAAACTTATATGACGGGACTGTGACAATTTTTTTTATATTTCAGAATCACTATGGTACTATGGACGGGGGACACTGTAAGTTGCTTTGTTATGTTGACACAAATATTTTTGAAATCATTTAAATGTATAAATTTTTTATTGAATTAGAAATGTTAACAGTATTTATTTTTGATTTTAATATAACATTCTTCAAACCCTTAATGAATTAGATATGTTAACATGTTAATATTTATTCTTGATGTGAATATGACATGCTTTGAGTAAACACCCGTTGTAAAATACAAATATATTGTATGTCAGCTGATCTGCATCTGCAACGTCATGATTTGTTGGGCTGTTCCCATCATAATCCTGTAACAGAAGATTTTTATGAATGAGTTACCTGAGGTAAATAGGTGTAAATGACATCATTGAACGATCGACTCTAACTGTGGCATCAGAAAATATGTTATCTACAGGAAAATGCACGAATGTGAAAAATGTGACAACAAGGAACCATTTACAAACGATAATACAAATTTCTTGAAATCCCATATTCTTAAATAAAAGTCAGATTTATTAAATTTGTTCTGTAATCAAGTAAGTAATTATACAAATGAAATTGATATCAGTCTAAAATATCAATTTGCGGTTTGCATAAACAAATACTTGTTGCACGAAACACATCTATCCTCCTTCATTGGACTGTGGTGCCATTTTGATGTAACAGAGATCAATTCCTTTTTTCCGACAGAAACAACAATTATTACATTTTCGTAACCATTAAATTTCTTCCTAAACTGTCTAAGTATGTTAAACATGTCACTTATTCAGTTTTCTTCATCTTTTACATCAATAATAATAGTGTGTCCATCATGTTCATTTGCGGCAACTCCAAAATTTTTCTTTCACCTTGAGCTCTTTGATCCAAAAGAATTGCTCTCTTTATTTCTTAACTTAATTAAACAACTTTGTAATGACTAGTACATTGTATTTATATTTTGAACAGATACTGCTTTCTGTAGGAATCCCTGTACCAAACGGTGGTATAAATATGATGATGAGCAAGTGTATGATATGTCAGAATCTGATGTTAAGGTAAGAATAAAGCAACCCAACAATACATACACACCAGTTTCGTGTTTTTTATACTGGTTACACATAGAGTCTAACAATAAAGAGGTGTCCAGATTGTAATCAAGTTGTGAATAAATTTAGCAGAAACAAGCAAAGATCTGCAATTTAAACCAAATTCTCCAAATAATGAAAAACTTTAGAAATGACATAAGACAACTACTGACGGGATTCTCAACTTGAAACAGAGATTTATCCACGAGAAATTTAACAATTATAGCAGATAAATTGATTAGATAAGTAGCTTTTTAGATGACTATGAGAGTTTGTTTTAAAGATTTATCTTGTTTCACCTTAGCTGGGTTTTTTCATGTATGTTTACCATGAGGTAGACCTTTTTTCTTTTTTTTTTCTTTCTTTTTATCTTAAAGACCACCAGTTTTTTTTAGGGAGCAAGGGGCCAGGAGAATTTTTAAAATGAATATCCTGGCTTGGTAAGACCTGAAAATAAATAACTTTGCACAACACAGTATGTAAAATTGAGAATGGAAATGGGGAATGTGTCAAAGAGACAACAACCCGACCATAGAACAGACAACAGCAGAAGGTCACCAACAGGTCTTCAATGCAGCGAGAAATTCCCGCACCCGGAGGCGTCCTTCAGCTGGCCCCTAAACAAATATATATACTAGTTCAGTGATAATGAACGCCATACTAAACTCCAAATTGTACACAAGAAACTAAAATTAAAAATAATACAAGACTAACAGGCTAGAGGCTCCTGACTTGGGACAGGCGCAAAAATGCGGCGGGGTTAAACATGTTTATGAGATCTCAACCCTCCCCCTATACCTCTAGCCAATGTAGAAAAGTAAACGCAAAACAATACGCACATTAAAATTCAGTTCAAGAGAAGTCCGAGTCTGATGTCAGAAGATGAAACCAAAGAAAATAAACAAAATGACAATAATACATAAATAACAACAGACTACCCGCAGTTAACTGACATGCCAGCTCCAGACTTCAATTAAACTGATTGAAAGATTATGTCTTCATCATATGAATATCAGGCACAATCCTTCCGGTTAGGGGTTTAGTATCATACCATCATAACATATATGAGAAGAACATAACCCGTGTCATGCCAACAACTGGTTTTTAAATAAATGTGTTTAGTGCCGATGCAAAGACCCTATAAGTGAATCAATATTAACGCCAAAATATGCAATCTTTAATGACCTGACAACAGTATCGTAACTATATCCCTTCTTAATAAGTCTATTTAAAGGTTTTGTTAGCTTCAGAGGTGAATACTGACATTTTTGTGCTTTATAAAGAATATTTCCATAAAAAATTGGATGTGAAATACCTGAACGTATAAGAAGTCTGCATGTTGAGCTATATTTACGAATGATGTCCTTATACCGATGATAAAATTTAGTAAATGTTTTGACTAGTTTGTGATATCGAAAACCCTGGTGTAATAATTTTTCAGTAATACATAAATTTCTCTCGTTAAAATCTAAAACATTGTTACATACACGAGCGAATCGTACAAGTTGAGATATATAAACACCGTAAGATGGTGACAAGGGAACGTCACCATTTAAAAATGGATAATTAACGATAGGAAATGAAAAATCATCTCTTTTATCATATATTTTAGTATTAAGCTTTCCGTTAATGATATAGATATCAAGATCGAGGAAAGGGCAGTGGTCATTGTTAGTATTAGCTTTATTTAAAGTAAGTTCAACAGGATAAATTTCTTTAGTATACATACTGAAGTCGTCATTATTGAGAGCCAAAATATCATCCAAATATCTAAAAGTATTATTAAATTTGTGTATCAGATGTTGTTTCGATGGGTCTTTGCTGATTTTTGTCATAAATTGTAACTCATAGCAATACAAAAAAAGGTCCGCAATAAGTGGTGCACAGTTAGTTCCCATTGGAATTCCGATAACCTGACGATATACGGAATATCCAAAGCGAACAAAAATGTTATCTAGTAAAAATTCAAGGGCATATATAGTATCAAAGCATGTCCAATTGACATAGTTTTTTTGTTTATTGCTACTAAAAAATGACCTAAAAGAGTTTGAACATATATATTCACATTCTGACTTTTTAAATGCCCATTTAATTAGGTGTGTGAATTTTTTCTTAATGAGAATGTGAGGCAATGTGGTATATAGGGTAGAAAAATCAAAACTTTGAACAGATTCAAAATCACCAATATATGCATGTAATTTATCAAGTACTTCCAACGAGTTCTTGACACTCCAAAAGTAATTAATTCCACTATTTTCGAAGGCCTTATTTGAACAATTTATTATCAGGTTTTTGATTGTACCAAGTGTACTGGTAAGAAGAATAGACAATTTAGTAGTGGAACAATGGCTTGAAGACGAAATGAATCTATATTTGTAAGGTGTTTTGTGTAGCTTCGGAAGCCAATACATAGTTGGGACTTTCATTGTATTTGGTTCTGCATGTAAAGCGGTAGCTAAAAGTTTATGTTTGTTACAGATGTCGTTTGCTGAAAATGGAGTCAGTTGGAATGTTGGTGAATTGGTGATTTCTTTTTTCAGAACCTCAATGTAAAATTTACGTCAAACAATAATAATATTATTAGCAGCTTTATCGGCCGGGACAAAAACAAATTCCTTGGCTAGTTCTTTTAGTTTATGTTTGATACGAGCTATTGGTTTATTGTGGTTATTGTTAAGAGTAAAATGTTCTTTAAAATGTTGAATACGTATATCAACTATGTTCATTACTGAATTAAAAAAAGAGTCCAAAGATTTTTTGTCAGCTTTTTCCCGTTTTATCCATTTCAAACAGTAAGTATGGAGTGAGTTGTGGATGATATTACGACACTCATTCCAATTAATAATTGACGGGGGACGATATTTAGGTCCTTTACTGAGGAACGATTTTAACTCTCGGTCTTGAACGATGTTAAGATCTCCTGTTATAACATGGGAAATGGGTCCATAAATGTATTCTGAATTACTGCAATTACATGAAGTAGGTGTATTTTCACTGATATTAACATCATTACACAATTGGCTATAATTAAACACAAATTTCCGGGTAGATTTCTTGTAAATATAACAAATAAGAGGGAGCTCAGTATTATCAAAATATCCCGGAATTTGTTCTTTAACAGAATGGTCGTTAAAAATACCGGCAATATTTACAAAATCAAAACCTTTATTGACATACTTTATTTTAATAAACTGTTTTTTATGATCTTCAGGGCGATCAATTTTGGGAAACAGTTTAGAATAACAATATGCCATTATAATTTGAACGATTTCATACTTAGGACTGCTATATGAAATTGTGTTGCAATCCTCTAAAATTTTATTTAACTTATTAACCGGTAATGAACAGAGCTTTGTTAACAGATGATGTCTGCCGTTGTTTTTTGAAATAGAAATAAGGTCCGAAATATTGGTATGATTGGTCCGAAATTTTCTTTGATTGCGATTTTTTCTACGACCATGAGAACGGTTTTTACGAACAGTTTTAGAAACTATATCCAAAATGTTAACAGAATCGGTTCTTGATATATTACCAATTCCCATGATATTATCATTAAGACCGAGAGGGTAGACTGTCTGTAATTTTTTAATTCAATTTAATTCAATTATTTTCCGTGATCGTACAAACTTTGAATGAGATTCACCAGGCTGCTTATTTACTACTTCTAAAGGTTGAACTGCTAAATATTTAATAGGATGATTGTGCTTCTTAAGGTGTTGATAAATGATACTTTTGAATTTATTGGGTCTTTTAAAACGATACAGATGTTCTTGAGTGCGTTTAGATAAATATCGTCCAGTTTCACCTACGTACTGAATACCGCATCCCGGTTTGTTTCAAGTGAGTAAATAAATAATACTGTTTGTTTTTCAAGTTATATCAGTTTCAAAATTTAAAGAAAATGTGCGACCATTAAACGTGGACCTTACCGTATTGTTGGTGGAAAGACGGGGACATGTAAGTCATTTTTTGGCATGACACTTATCGATAGAAGGGTAACCACGATTTTTATTGTTAAAAATGTTATTGATGGTAGTATTTTTAGATAAGCGATTTTGAAGATTGAGACGTGTAGATACCCTTTGAACGAGTTTAGTATTTAATATTTTTCCATTTCTAAGCTTCATATTTGTTTTTTGTTTGTGAATTATATTAGAAAGGAGCAAAGACTGGCGTCCAGAATATGAACCAGCATACAATGAATTAAATTATGTAAAAATGATAAATCTGTTCGGCTAAAGATGTCAAACGCTATCCGTATTCATTACCCGAAAAAGAAAGGGTATATCAGGGTAGCGACTGACGTCTGACTAAATAGTAGAATTGGGCTAAATATTGAAATACTACTTTTTGATAAATATTCCTAAAGTAATGAACTAGAGAAGTTCTCGCTCAGACACACACTCCATAATCTAGTATATGTGAATGGATATTCTGCAACACAAAATGCAGGATATATTTGGGTACAAAAGTGAGAGAAAAAAAGCAGCAAAGCGGTGCAAAAAAAAATAGGCAGATGAAAAAAAAAAGTCAATCTACCAAAAATCCTCAATGCCACCAGCCCCCTCCCCCCCCTTCCCTTTTTGATGAGGTTCCTGATTTAATACAGGCATATGCTGTCCTACCCTCATATATATATACATCATGGGATACACACTAAGAATTTCTTTTATAATCTCAACATTACTTTTTGTTGAGCTCTTTACAGCACAGTAAAGTTTCTATTTAAAAACTTGATATATATATATGAGGGTCTTGATGGGGTTTAGAGAATAGAGAGGCAATGCTACAGAAAAATAGACCAAAAAAATAAAGAATAGAAAATAATGGGGTGCTAAAATATAAACAGTGGCGGATCTAGAAATTTTCATAAGTGGGGGCCCACTGACTGCCTAAGAGGGGGCCCGCTCCAGTCATGCTTCAGTGATTCCCTAAATAATCAACCAATTTTTTTCCCAAAAAAGGGGGGGCCCGGGCCCCCTGGGCCCCCCCCCCCCCCCCCCCCCCCCCCCTCCCTAAATCCGCCTCTGATAAAGAATAGAGAAAAATAGGCAAAATATATAAAGAGAGCTACAATTTAAAGAACAGAGAAAAAATTACCTAAATATTTAAAGAATACAGAAATGAAGGACCCCCATATATATTTGCGAGTAGTAAGTAACTGTACTTTTTTTCTGATTTCAGAGTTCAGCAGCGTTTGTTCTTTACTACACATCAATAGACCTGCTACCACCAGATTTTAGGAAGAACTTTTAACCAAGACAATAGTTTGATGTAAAACATGTGATCTACTCAATGAGGGTTGTGTTCTACTAATCTTTTCAGAGGCATTTATACTAAAACGTTTTAGGCTTATTTCCACAAATTTGAACCAAACTGTTAAATATTCCTTTCTTGCAAATGTTTGATAATAAAAATTTATTTTTTTTAAATTCAAATTATACTGTCAAAATCAATACTTCTTTAAAGGCCTGAAATCAAAGCTCTGTAAAGGACTGAAATCATAGCTCTGTAAAGCAATGAAAAAAGAACAGCAATAACTGCTTCTTGACTGGTATAGTGATTGAGATAACAATTATCTTTCGATTCAAGTATAAAGAACTAGTTTTTCATGAATTAGACGTTATGTTTTGACATGATTTCTATATAATTAACCACGTCATATATAAGTATGGCATTTATTGCATAAGCTGTGATTGTTTTTATGTAAATTATTTTTTAACCTGTAAACATTCAACAAATATCAATATTGTTATAATTTATGCTACATATGTATTTATTTTGTATTTGCTTCATATATTTTTTATTTTAGACAGAGGTAAACAACTATCATACATTGAAATGTAAAATGTTTGTATCATGTGATCTTGGCACTGTATCATGTGATCTTGGCACAGCTGTTTATTTTGTATATATAAAATAGACATAAATATGGCAAGCCGTTTTACTATTTATTCTAACTTCAAGATATCTAATAAACTTTATAAGATATCTCATATAATTTATTAGATATCTTATATAGTTTAAAAGATATCTTATATAATTTTATTATATGAGATATCATATAAACTATATGAGATATCTTATAAACTATATAAGATACCTTATAAACTATATAAGATATCTTATATAAAAAATATTTATAAGATATCTAATAAACTTTATTAGATATCTTACTTACTTTATAAGATATATTATAAAGTATATAAGATAAAGTTTATAAGATATCTTATAAAAACTAGATTATAAAAGATATCTTATATATTATATGAGATATCTTGAAGTTAGAATAAATAGTAAAACAGCTTGCCATACATAAAACTATAAAACACCCTCATTAGCACAACCATGTCCAATAATGGAACTTCTACCTACTACACAATCCCCTCTCCCCTTCTCCTTTTCATTTAAAAATGGCTGCCCAGAAATAAACTTTAGACATAAAGAGCCTACCAGTAGATTGATTGATTGATAAATGCCACTTTCAGCACTCTTGATTATATCATGACTGCCAGTTTTTATTGGTGAAGAACCACCGACCCTGGACAGATAAATTGACAATCCTAGGCAATAAAGACCAGAAGCTAACGTACATTGTTTGATGTTGAAAGGCTAGAGATCAATGTACACTTCTTAGACCACTCAGCGACCAAGGTCCTTCCACCAATGGAATTATCATTAGAGATTTAACTGACATTTTTAAACTGCTTTGCAGCTTGAAAAACATTTTTACTAAATTGGAATCATACTGGTGGTTGCATCATATCTTGTAGTTAATATGAGCCACTGTGCTTTGCGGGATCGACATCCCTATCTTCAAGCAAACGGATTCTATGGAGGCCTTCACTTTAGAAGAACATTTGTCAAATCAGTTCTTAAGCATTCAATTTCATATGATTATCAGATGCATTTATTTTGAATGTTCCACTGAAATACTTAATGTGTTGAAGGCTTGGAATGTTACTAATCATAGAGTTTGTAGGTCACAAGATGTATATATGTATAGAGATCAAGAATATGATAGGTAAGCTGGTTTCTGAAGGTAAATACTCCCATCCACCCCCTTATTCTTAAATATATATATATAGATATTAATGTATAATTTGTTAATTTTTGTTAATTTGTTAAGTTTTATGCAGATTTATTGTTGTTTTGTACAGATTGTATTCATCCCCTGTGTTACTATTTATAGACAGAATTCATCCCCTATTATATACTATTTATAGAATTTGTATATTTATAATCACTTAATTTACAAGCAATGTTCAAATTAAATAGCCAGTAGTAGATTTTGTTTGGTTTGGAATGTTTTTGGATATAAAAGCAATCCTTTGGATAATAACGTCATATATATACTTATGTTATATGTCTATGCTTAATAGAGATGTTTGATTTTAATAAGTGTGTTTGGAATTAAGTAATTATTGGATAAAATTTTATGAATTTCATGTGTCTGAAGCGCTTTTCTAGATTTACTCTCATCATCTCATATTCTCAACATTCAAAGCAGAATATTTTAAAGTGATGGATGTATAAGAACTGAAACAGTTAAAGAGCTATACGACCAAAAATTACCTAAATAAAAGCCAAATCTATCTAAGGCTAAGTGCTTTTTGGAGTACGGTATGCTATAAATGGGATATAATTAGCAGTTTGTATCCATGGAAACTTCAAGCATAAATTATGTCAGTCTTAGATGTCTTGGGAATTCTGAACACACTTTTACAAAATAAAAAGAACATCCTTATAATGTGAAGCCACTCTTAATATTTGTTTGGCCTATTTGATATCAATGGCTTTGTTTAGAATTTTTGTAATATTGCTTGTTATGTTGTGTAATAAATGATTTAAGTTGCAATTGACAAAGCACTCACTGCTCATTAATATTTCTTGAACTGATCTGATTGGTTGATTTAAATTAAACCATATGATTGCTATTCTTTTTCATTTTGATATTTTTTTTGGTTTGAAAGACCAACTGTTACATTTATTGAATTTTATTGGTTGATGGCATATCAAATGACCAAAAGATATTGAATTTCATTGGTTGGTCATTTGTGTGTTTTGTTGTCAAATCATCATGTAATGAAGATGTATTTATTTAATGAAAATTAAAAAAAACCTACTATTTTTTACATCTGCTACTTGTATTAATGCCATCTTTTGTGCAGTTTACCAGGTTAGCAACATGTATTATCTTTACTGCAGTTCTGTTATCTTTTTTCTTACTTTACCACTGGAGCAACATTTATTACTGTCTCACTTGTCGCAGAATGCGAGATATAGAGATTACCTTTCGGTGGCGGATTAAACAATGTGTATAAAGCTTAATATTTCAGAAGGTAGAAGACCTGGATGCTTCATACCTTGTATGTAGATGCCTAATGTGACGAAGTTTAAGACTGCCATGTGTCCATTATACTTGACCTCATTTTCATGCTTCAGCAACTTTGTCAAGTGAAATACTCACTTGATAACTATATTTGGTATATGGGATCCTTGCAAGGTCTACATGTCTGTCAGGCAGGCTTCACACGACCTTTACCTCATTTCATGGATCAGTGGTCAAGGTTAAGTTTTCATGGTCAAGTTCTTATCTGATATACTATAAGCAATAGGTCAACTATATTTTGTGTATGGAATGAGTGTAAGGTGTACATGTCTGACTGGCACGTTTCATCTAACCTTGACTCATTTTCATGGTTCATTGGTCAATGTCAAGCTTTCATAGTTTTGTCAGTTTATCAGATACCATAAGTAATAGGTCAACTATCTATATTTGGTGAATGGAATGATTTTAAGGTGTACATGTCTGTCTGGCAGGGTTCATCTGACCTTATTATTATTATTCAATCATGAGAACAAAAATAATAAGCAGGGGAGACATTTTATCTTACGCACTCTTGTCATTCCTACAGGTTTGTCATATTTTTTGCTTGTTACCAGGTGAACTACTTTTGTATTGAGAAACTGTCTTTTAAAATTGATTTACATTTTGTCATGTCGGGACCTTTTATAGCTTTCTTTACAGCATGTGTTTTGCTCATTGTTGTAGGCCCCACCTTTAGTTGTTTACATTTACATCATTTGGTCTCTTGTGGATAGTTGTCTCATTGGCAATCATACCACATCTCCTTATTTTAATACTTACAATGTAGAAAGTCATGAACTGTCATTGTAACAACCAGGGTCAAGGTCCAGAGATGAATCTCATACCACATCTCCTTATTTGAATATTTACAATGTAGCAGGACATCTCATGGACTGTCATGGTAGAATGCTTACAACCTGCAGGGCCAAGGTCAAGGTCCAGAATCTTATGCCAGATCAATCCTAAGTCTAACACATCTTATTTGCTGCTTGTCAATCAAGCGTGAACAGCCTTGGTGGTCTTGTGGTAGCGTGTTCACTTCAGATGCAGGAGCTTGTGGGTTAAATCACAAGTCGGGTCAAACCAAATACTTAAAAATTGAAATTTGATGTTTTTGGGAGAAGCACACAGCATTTAGGAGTAAGATAAATGACTGGTCAGCTCGGAGTCAGAATACTGTAAATGCAGAAATTATTTTGAGGTTTCATTAATGTGAAAAATGCGACTGGGTGAGTCTTGCAATAATAAATACTTGCATTCTGATATCAGATACATATACCTGTATGCGAATTTTCCATTAATCTCACACTTTTGTCCTTTCTTCCACAATAAAGTAATGTGACATCTCTTCCTGTTGCCTTGTCAAGGGAACTAGCACATAAAAATCCGGCTAATTGTGTCTGTCTGGTACAAAGCTGGATTTATATTATTAAATATCACATTAAAATGTTTGTTTCCTGATGTGCACGAAATATACTGAACGTTAAACACCAATCCATCATCATTTTCTTCAGCATGTGTCATTAAGACAAAAGATTGTTTGGCTTGGAGTCACAATGGTGTATCCAGGGTGTTCCTGCTTGGCTTGGAGTCACAATGGTGTATCCAGGGTGTTCCTGCCTGGCTTGGAGTCACAATGGTGTATCCAGGGTCTTTCTGTTTGGCTTGGAATCAAACTGAAGTATCCAGGGTTGGTGACATTTCTTCCTATTTGGCTTGGAGTCAATCACAATGGTGTGTTCGGTGTCTTCCAGTTTGGCTTGGAGTCACAATGGTGCATCCAGAGTCTTCCTGTTTGCTTGGAGTTGTTTGCTTGGAGTCACAATTGGTGTATCCAGGGTTGGTGACATGTCTTCCTGTTTGATTCGGAGTCACAATTGTTGTATCCAGGTTTGGTGACATGTCTTCCTGTTTGCCTTTGAGTCACAATTGGTGTATCCAGGGTTGGTGACAATGTCTTCTTGTTTGGCTTGGAGTCACAATTGGTGTATCCAGGGTTGGTGACAATGTCTTCATGTTTGGATTGGATTCACATTGGTGTATCCATGGTTGGTGACATGTCTTCCTGTTTGGCTTGGAGTCACAATTGGTGTGGTGTATCCATGGTTGGTGACATGTCTTCCTGTGTGGCTTGGAGTGACAATGCTGTATCCAGGGTTGTGATGTCTTCCTGTTTGGCTTGGGTCACAATTGGTGTATCCATGGTTGGTGACATGTCTTCCGTTTTGGCTTGAAGTCACAATGATGTAGCCAGGGTTGGTGACATATCTTCCTGTCTGGCTTTGAATCACAATGGTGTATCCTGGGTTGGCGACATGTCTTCCTGTTTGGCTTGGAGTCATTATGATGTCTCCGGGGTTTGGGACATGTCTTCATTGATACTGTTACATTAGAAACCACCAGTAGCATATTAAAAAGATCTTGATCAGCTTGTGGGTCTTTTACACAGGATTAATTTTCTTGCCACTGTCATGTGTTTTCATGTAGATGGGGTTTACAAAATAGAGAATCATGGGAAAAAAGTGCAGAATAAAGGGAAAAAACATAGAAACAAAATGGAAAGAAATAAAGAATAGAGAATAATGGGGTGCTGAAATGTATAAAGAATAGAGACTAAGGTTCAAAATAAATAAAGAATAGAGAAAAATTGTATATAATACAGACAAGAAGGATCCCCATCCAGACCCTCATGTAGAATATGCAAATCATATTTACCATTGGATTTTAAGCATTCATCAATGTATGTCTACGTTATCACTACCAAATCTACGTTTACCAATTGTGCTACACATATTTTATTACCACATTATCTACACTCCATTTTGACAGATGATATCGTGTATTTTTACCACTGTTTTACCAGGTGAGAAATGTGTATTTTTACTCATACAGTTTAGTCTTGAATCATTTTACAAGGTGAGCAACATATATATATGTACTTTTACTCCTATAGTTCAATCTTGAATACGTTTTACCAGGTGATCTACATGTATTATTACCAGTACAGGTTAATCTACACTGAATTTTACAAGGTGATCAACGTGTAGTTTTATTACAGTTTAACCAGCAACATTTATTCTACACTATTACCTGATGATAGTTTAGTCTACCAGTTGAACAAAATGTAGTTTTACTACCCCACTTTAGTCTAACAGCTAGTTTAGCTACTTGGATTACTACCAGTAAATTCGGTCTTATCTTCTATTTAACAGGTGAGCAACATTTGTTTACTACTGCAATTTAAATTTAACCAAACTTAAAATTATTCTCCTCTGAAACAACTAGACCAAATTTAACCATCTTTGCCACAATCATCATTGGAGTATCTAGTTTTAAAAATTATGTCCGATGACCCCGCTCGCTAACCAGCATGACCGACATGGGGGAAGTCGGAGGGGGGGGGGGTCCAATCCCGAAATCCCGGGTTTATTTTTGCTTTGTCCCGATTTCCCGGGCCTTATTTCACAATATCCCGAAATCCCGATAAAATCGCATATGCTTTTTGGGCAAAATACATTAATTAATGATTGTATACTGTTCAAAGCAATCGGTCAGTCTGTTGTACAGATTCCCTGTATCTAATTAATATAATCTAGTGAGCTTAGTTTAATTCAGATTACATTAACATGGAGATTGCGACATTCCAAAACTTAAAAGACACATAAATAAGTGAACTAGTTTGAGTTTTAAAAGAAGGTAAGACATTTTCGTCAGTTAGTTGGAGTATGACCTCTGAGAGTATGATAGTATACGTTATCACTCTTCTTTACTCTTTAACTTTTTTTGTGCTAATCCGAAGCCAGGATACAGTGTCAAGTAGTTATGCGTATGCAGTGTTTTCAATGTTTTTTTTTTTTGTAATTCTTTATTTGTTTCATGCCATTTCATTTTGTCCGACATCTTTGTTTTTTTTTTTAATTCAATATGGGCCCTATTTAGCTCTGACATTATTCTGTAATAGCTTTGTATAGTGCTTCGAAATTTAAGATTGTGTAACCCGAAATCATAGAATTTTTTTTAGGGGGGGGCAAAAGTAGACGCTTTGGAAGGGTTCCTTTTTCTTTGAATATATGTACTTATCTTGTGCTGACGCAACTTGTTAAAATAGATATAAGAAGATGTGGTGAGTGCCAATGAGACAACTCTCCATCCAAGTCAAAATTTTATAAATGTAAACCATTATAGTTCAAAGTACGGTCTTCAACACGGAGCCTTGGCTCACACCGAACAGCAAGCTATAAAGGGCCCCAAAACTTACTAGTGTAAAACCATTCAAACGGGAAAATCAACGGTCTAATCTATATAAAAAACGAGAAACGAGAAACACTTATGAACCACATCAACAAACGACAACTACTGACCATCAGATTTCTGACTTAGGACAGGTGCAAACAATTGCAGCGGGTTAAACGTTTTAATGGTACCAAACCTTCCACTAATCTGAAACAATAGTGTAACATATAAATCCTGTTTTGTTTCTGTGTGTGATCGTGTCCTTTGGTTTACTAATTTTTAATACACTTACATTTATAACTTTGACCATGTAAGATGAACAAAATTATCTTCGGAGAAACCAAAAGACTTAAAACTATAGAACAAACAATGTGCAAATATATCCAAGTAGCCTATTAAATAAAACATAAACCGTTGTACAAATACACGAGGATTCAAAAGGAACAATCACAAACTGATCACCGAACACTAAAAAACATGCAAGAACCCCTATAAAAACCAGGAGTTAACCAAGGTGCTCTGAGAGGGTAA